CCATCCTTTCGAGAACCGAGAAGGCCAACCGACCCTTCCATCCTTCCGGAATCGGTCAATTGATACTACACTCGTCTGGGACGATAAACGCACTGACCTGTATGTCGGGTGGCCACCGCTAGTCATTGTATAGGCCACGTACGCATCCAATATGCCACTTCGATTCTGAATGGAAGTCGAATGCTCTGGCGCGTTCCGAAACGGGATTGATTAGCGCGCAGGAGTCGGCCATTATCCTTTTATGTACAAACGCCGTTGAGTTTTTCAAAAAAAAAGGCAGTTTGTTTGTACAACACAGTCTTTACTATGTACAGGTCAACCGTTTCTTGTAACACTCGTGAAAAATGGGAATCTTAGTCCGACTTTTCCTCATTTATTTTGCATATTTCTCCTGTTTTCACCTCCTTGACCACGAAGAAGTAAAGCTCAAAGAAGCAATTTGATAATCATGTAACCTTAGAACCCATATGGTAAAGTTATCCTTCAACCGAAACAACTTTCAAGGCAATAGCCGAGTCTCAGAACTTTCGGGTGTAGGTGGTGCAGTACCAAGTGACGCGCAATCATTCCCACGGTCCTAGGTTCCGATACCCTTCCAGTTCACACAAGGCTTTCTTCTTTCCAGGGTGTGTTTATCACGGTGCCAGACCTGTCTGGGAAGAAGAAAACAATGACTTCAGCTTCAACTGTGCGCGCAACTCATTGTATAAGCTACAAACACATTCAAATGATTCTGAACTGAAGTCGAAAGGCGGAGGTAGTCCCCAAAAAACGGGATTGATCGAGGCCGAAAACAAAATCTTTCTTCTGGGTTTCCCACAGCTTGTTTGCTTCGGTAGTAGACTTCGAACAGAGGCTGAGACTCATTTCTTTTTCCACGTTTCTCTAACATTTCTTCTTTGTTTTCGTTTTCGAATATTGGCTATGAGAGTTCAACTGTGATACGTTTATGCCACTCTATACTGTCCATTGTTGTCTGATGTAAGGGAAGTCGTAACCCATACAATATTATGATTTTTCAGGGTGATATGGTGAGGGCAGGTTTGTTGTGGGTAATTTTAGCCACGTTTTTAGGTAAGATTCTAGTCTTTCTCAGTCCTTGTTTTTAATCAATATTGTATAAAACAAACTGCAAAAAAGTGTCGTAATAAAGGTTAACAACAAAATACAATTCCAGGTTATGTATCTTGTTATGGTGTGGATTTTCTTTCTGCAGCTGACTTCGTTGAAGCGGATAAACTAACACCCGGTAGGTTTTGGATACTTGATTTACTGCAGGTGATTCGCCCTATGACTTACGATGACTTGCGGTGGCCATCCTATAAATAGGTCAGTGCTTTTATCCTACCAGACGAGTCTGGTATCAATTAGACGACTCCGTAGGGATGTTTGGCCTGGGCGGTTGTCGATCCAGGATCAGATATCCGGCCCATTTCCTCTAGAAGTATTTGATGGAGGCAATCAACAAGGACGATCAGGGAAAACCACTCGCAAAATGGCGTGACTGAACAATTTTACATCTGAATCGAACTTTCAGTCATTCTGCCTCGTGTCGTGGATGTGGAGGGCGTTTCGCTCTCGGCTCTGACAGCCTTTATTGTCTTGCGCTGGTTCTCATCTCTTGAGCTGCAATACTGTTCGGACATCCATACGTCGAGCCAACAGGAAGAAAAAGCTCTAATACTGTGTTCGAAGCGGCAGAAGATTTTGAATATCTTTGAATTGCCGCTATCTGAGCTGTTTTCACGTTTGAAAATTAACCGGTTACCTCCTCATCTCCATATTAATACTCAACCAGCTACATAGCTTTCTTCTGATGGAAAGCGTCGACTATTGCATCCTGCCACTCTATTAGGTGTTTCTTTTGCTTTCTGTGGTTGAAAAAGGGGTGTCGCGCTGTCGGGGCCGTCCCACCATGGCCATTTCGCATCGGTGGTTGCTCGGTAGGGCGACCCCAGCGGCGCGAGTTAAGTGACCGGGATCTTCTTCTCGCTCGCTATGCTCGAGNATGGAGGCAATCAACAAGGACGATCAGGGAAAACCACTTGCAAAATGGCGTGACTGAACCATTTTACATCTGAATCGAACTTTCAGTCATTCTGCCTCGTGTTGTGGATGTGGAGGGCGTTTCGCTCTCGGCTCTGATAGCCTTTATTGTCTTGCGCTGGTTCTCATCTCTTGAGCTGCAATACTGTTCGGACATCCATACGTCGAGCCAACAGGAAGAAAAAGCTCTAATACTGTGTTCGAAGCGGCAGAAGATTTTGAATATCTTTGAATTGCCGCTATCTGAGCTGTTTTCACGTTTGAAAATTAACCGGTTACCTCCTCATCTCCATNAATTAATACTCAACCAGCTACATAGCTTTCTTCTGATGGAAAGCGTCGACTATTGCATCCTGCCACTCTATTAGGTGTTTCTTTTGCTTTCTGTGGTTGAAAAAGGGGTGTCGCGCTGTCGGGGCCGTCCCACCATGGCCATTTCGCATCGGTGGTTGCTCGGTAGGGCGACCCCAGCGGCGCGAGTTAAGTGACCGCTTCTTCTCGCTCGCTATGCTCGAGTCGATCTGCCACACGGACTTGGTGTGCCTGGGCTGCTCCAGTCCTCCTTGCGTCTTCCTACGGGCTATTACTGCCTCCGCAGTACGTTGAGGGTTGCTAGCCCAGCGCCGAGTTTCCTCAAGTCCCTGGGCGCAAAGTCCTATCATGGCCTACGAGCCCATCCCGGATGGATCTTATCACACTTCACATACTGAGAACACTACTATGGATTACACTATTTTATGGCAAATTACGTAAGAAAGAAATAGGTGATGTTAAATGCGGATAAATGTGGAAACTGCGATACAAATACATAGTACTGCGGGAAAGGAATACAAAAATACAAATAAATATGGAAACCACACCCAACCTACGGACAGGGTGCGATCCTGCTAAGGCCTCATCCAGGGCCATCCAAGCCCTCCCAGCCTCCTTCTGGCACTGCCGCTCCACGGTCCTTCCATGGCTGCGAACCATTCCTCTTGATGTTCCTTTCTTGAGCATACTTGGCAACAATGGCTCCACTGGTAGATGGCAACAGTGTGGTGCTGCGAGAATCGCTAGAGCTGCGTCAATGGCGTTGACGTCGATTGGCACCAGAAGACGGAGACGGACAGGCGGTAATGTCAATGGATGATGCAATCGTTGCATGGCGGAGAGAGCGGCCAGAGTCCGTGGCAAGGCATAGCCACGTGGCAAACTCCTGTTTTTGGCAGCGTACTGTGTCTTTCCCTGCGGGACCGAAGGCGCGCCATGCCAGACCGATCTTTAAGTCGTCCGGACGGCGCGACAAGAAATCTCGTCGACTGTTATTAACACTGTTTGAGCAAGAAAAGCCCCTGGTGATTGCTTTCGATAACTTATTGGCTGATGACTGCCTATATAAAGACATTAGTCAATTATCTACTGGATATGAAGGAAAGGCTCGAAATTTTAACTTGTGAAAATAAGGAATCAAATGAAGGAGCTCAGAATCATGAGGATGAGAATTCTCGTTCACGTTGTCCTTATCTCGGTCTATCAAGAACGGAAATCAAGCTCACGTTGTTTGTTGTGAAGTTGAAGAAGTTTCACATTCAATATTGATCGCAGGTGTTCCCCGAATGTGGTAATCCACTCGCTTCTAATCGTATAGCTCATGATTTCAATTTTGGTGGGCAACTTTTCCACTTCTTTAGTGAGTTCGTTGAGTTTGTTCCATTACCTGCTCAACGTATGGGGAAACAATCTCAGTTTCGTCGTAGCTTACTGAGGGTGGTACTCCTTACACAGTACACTAAGTACAGCACTTTGTGTTGTTTGCTTGTTGATCAATGACCTATTTTAGACGAAGTCTATGGAAAGCATATACCAGTTGAAGTTGTGAACGACTATCGTTCGGATATACGAGAACCGCGGGCGGTTCGTCGGCGTATAAAGGTAACAGCTACATCAGCTCATTCATAATATAAGAGTGATTAAGCAATCGTTGTCCGTTTGAGATGCGCTAGGTACTTTTCAATCCATCAAAATAGTGAATGTAGCATGCACAGGCAAGCAAAACAATTGCTCCTATACTGACTTCCCTATCCGATATTGTTAATGCAATGCCGATTTATGCATGAACATATACATGTCGTTACACTCGCCAATGACCCGTTCATCTTACTTCAAACTAGGTTAATTAGAACATGCTTTATGACATGACAAGTTGATATTAGCAGTATTAATGTCTAGAGCCCGGTGTGATGACGCAATGGGGACTGGCTCGAGACGGTCTTCTATTGGGCAGATGGGCGCACATGTACATTCCCTGGCCAGCTGCAGAAGCGTCTTTATAAAGTGGTTTCACATTGCGTAATTTAGAGGTAGTAAGTAGGTCATTTCGGTTTTATATGACCTCTAGTCTTGACCAATGAATTCAACTAATGAAAAAGATAGTGATATGAAATCGCGTATTACCCGCTACTCCCGCCGGCGCCATAGCCTGGAATTTTTGATAATATTGCAGTTTTCTAGATAATTCTCCTATTCGTGCAGCGTGGCGGACCGCTTGGGTTCTTGCTCGCTCCAAGCTGTCGCGCGTCTCCTCATTCTGCTTGAGCTTACTTTCAACGCGTCGAATGGTGACCTTTTTGCTTGCGGTAGTGGCACTTTGCCTTGTGCCTTCGAAAAAGTGTTTCTTGCACAGTACTCAAGGCAGCGTTCGCATTTGCCATACTGTTTTCCATTATCCTTGTTTGCATTTGGGATCGGTGGTAATGACTCAAAAGAATTACTGAATATGGAGATAACCTGAAGGAAGCAGTTCATCTAGCGAACCCAGGTGAGCTAGGAAAGTAGCGGCTCTGACGCTAAGGCCGTAGAAGGAAGAAAGATGCGGCTTTCCGTCGCCTTTAGGGTCAAGACGCTCTTCAGTTTCATAACGGCCGTCGAACTGTGGAAGATTACATCACTCGCCATGTAAGGCTATAAGGACGATGGTTGGAAAGAGTCAGGTAATGTTCGGTAAAATAAGAACTAAAACACTATAAATATGTATACTGCAATATTTACACTGACATCGTCCGGTCATTCACAACTGACGTGGCTGACAAGAGATGAGAGGTGGTTCTTCTAGGCGATGCATTGTTTTTGGCTCATTTTCACATGTCACATCAACGAAATATAGATCCGTTTCCAGAAAAGAAAGAACAGAAACCAACCTCCCAACCATGCTTATGCTCTCCTATAGCGTCAATCTGCTGTTTGTACTGAATCTCTGCGTCATGGACTTACAACTTGTTATTCCAGAGGAATGGCGTGTCCAGAGTAGCGAAATTATGGCCGAATGCCAGGATTCCATATGCGATCTCGCCACATTACACGTCGCACGAACGTGCTTTACTCGCTCGAGCTGTCAAACAGGTTCGTTAGCAGGCACATCAGCGCAACTGGTACACTGCCATGGCGTTCATTACCGACTGTAGGCCGCTTAGCAAGAAATAGTTGCGGTACGGTCAAGTAGAGGTGATTAAAAACAGTAGAATGTGTTCGAATGTTTCCAGTACCATGAGAAGACGTGTATTCGATTTGTGCCCCGGTCAAGCGGCGAGCCTGACTACCTTTTCATAGGCAAAGTGGATGGGTGAGTTATGAGAGAACTAATTGTTTGTTTTTGAAATCGTGATCAGAACATATTCGATCTTTTCAGCGATGAGAATAACATTATTTCATGGGATCTATATGGAAAGACCCTTATTTATTTTTATCTTTTGAACTGCACCGCTGGTGCACCAAAACAGACCAGAACCTGCTTAGTAAACAAAATGAGGGAAGAAACTGCGATACAAAACATATTCACAAAGAAACACAAACACTCTACTGCCAGCAGAAAGCGACCGGAAGAAAACATTACCTTAACCGTAATGCAACAAGCTGAGGACAATGAATGCTCAACATGTTGAAACCACAATTCATACCGAATTAATCCGCACGAGATCATCAGTCACCCTCGAACACTTAAAGATCGGAAGGTCAGGACAAAGCGCCTCTACCTCTCAACAAAAAAATTTAGCGGTGCAAGTGCATGGACTAATTTTCTGAAACGGCGACATTGAATATTTACCTACAAGTAGTGGTGCCTCATGGTGTAAATGGACAAATAAATTGGAGTGAGTTATAGTTCTTCTAAACTGAAGTACATAAGTCCAAAATAGACTACTCGAAAAAAACGGAAAATGCAAACAAAAGAAACGGTCACCGAAAAGTCATTAAGCTTATATCTGGAATACCGTGATGGTTCCAAAAGTGTACGTTTTCTATCTCAAAAATAATAACGATGAGAAATTCAAGCGCTGGAACTTACTCACGCTTTGGATTCCAGTTGCTTTTCCGAGGTCGGTCGGACGTCCGGTGTACAGGTACTGTCACTGGACAATGGCTGTATGGAATACGCAACGATCATCCACGAAATGATGCACGTCGTCGGTTTCTATCACGAACATGGTGCGTAGTAAGTGAGAATTGGAATCCATTCAAAAACTCTCGATACCCTCTCTCCTTCTTCTCCCTACGTTAACCCGCGCCGTCGAAAGGTCCGCTCCTCTTCTCAGCCGTCTCCACTTTCTTCCATCTGCCTTACGTTGCTTCATTTCTTGTCGTTACATCGACTTCGACGACTTCCCTTTCGATAAATTTTGTCACCTCCTCTATTTGACTCCTCTTGGTCACTTCCATTGAACCTGGACTCCATGGATGGCCTTATTGAATGATTCTTATTTTCTCAGTACGTGTCCGTAGCATCATATGCTGCTGCTCTCTTATTTCGTCGCACGAACGCCTTGACTTCTTTGTTTTGTTCCGTCCAATCGCATCCAACCGCAGACCCAGACTCTGAGCATTCTCAATCAAGTGGAATGAAGTTGTCCTTCACGTTTTTAATTGTAACGACGACTCGCTGCCATGAGCATCATTGGTCTCACCTTTGTACGAAACACCCCTCCTTTAGCGGAACACCGTCAGTCACGAAGAATATCAGGAAACTTTCTTCATCTCATCTCACGTTGATCCGTGCCTTCAGAGACTATCAGGCAACTACATCACTTAACCAGCATTAGAAATCTATCGATGCATTTCCCGAGGCAGTCCACGATTGACTCTGCGCAATTCTCAGAACTTTAGAACTTGATCCCTTTCACGTTGGGGCCATTTTCCGCCAGAGCCTCCCGCCACTTCTCCAGCTTGTCGTCGAGTCCTTTCTGCTATCGGGTATGGGAGTTATGTCATCAGTGCGGATGTGGTCTTTAGTGGTCCATCTACGAGTCATTTGTGATGACAGCCACTGTAAGCAGGAAGAGCAGCGGACTCAGAGTTGTTCTGTTGTACCCAACTTGACGTCTAGGAACTGACGTCAGACCGTGAGAGGTGGATATGACTGTCTTGCACACATCGTACATTTTTTACCGACGGAGATTAAGTGCTCAGGAATGCTTAAAGCTTCTTCGTTTCTCGGCCAGTCTCGGCAGAGGGTCGCAAGTCTTCTCCAGATGGAGACAAAAAGGTGGCACGTCTACCCTTTTCTCCATTCTTCTCCATCATTTCTCTAACCATAAAGACGACATTCATTGTAGAGCGTTGTGGCTTTAAATTCAACTGCTCCTGTGAGATCGGGATAAGCCCCTCGATCTTGACTTAACCTATGGATCACTTCCCCGCATCTTCCTCTTCATCGGCAATGGGAATGATAGCAATTTTGTACGATTATTTTTGTCTTGTGCTCCTCTTTCATGTTTATCTTCTTAGCCATGATTTGACCGCTGAACCCGACTAGCGGAAACGGAAATATCGTTAGACTCCGCTACTGCTAAGTCGCACTATTTCGTTTAGCTCTTCTCCATTGTAAAAGTGCATGCCATCCTCTCCAAATTTCTGACCCTTGCTCCTTTTGCCTTTTGGATGCAGAAAACCTAGATGGGCTTCATGAAATCGGCAAGCTTTGGAACTTCCCAGTAAACGATTCCACGTTCATAGTCTCAACTTGAACCATCTTCTTCGGCGGGAGTGGTTCACTCTTCGGTACCCCTCGAATACTGTAATCAGAACTTGGGAGAAAAAAATAACGTGTGCGTTACCTCCAGATAAAGTTCTAACTTTACCACTGCTTCTTTGAGGCTTCAGAAACAATTGTTGCGACTAGTTTTCTCCATAGACTGGCCTGCAAACCTGAGCCTTCCGAAGCCATTTTCGCAATTTTCTGCAAGACATGTTTTTTCGACAGGTAACTTGCACTCCCTCTGAGTGCAGACATGAGCCTAAACTCACAACCTTTAATCGTCGGCCGGTACCCATGTACATGTGCTTTTATAAGTTTCTAAGGTGAAAAGAACATCTTCTTCCCAAGAACTTCGCGCTTGCGAATGAATTCACAACGAACTTGAAAAAAAAAACAAGGATAATACCTACTGTTTATATTTTATGTTTATGTTTATCTCGTAACAATTTCAGAGCGCTGGGATCGTGATAACTTTATCGACATTATATGGCAGAATATCGATAGAGGTAGGCTTATCAATACATTCACTCCAAAAAGTAAGCCTTGAAAATGGAAAAGCTTGTCAGCTATATATAACTTTCCGCTTTCCACAAATTTTCTTTAGACTGATTCCATGAAGGACCCTTAGCTTTTCCAGGTGCTCTTGATCAATTTGGCAAGGTGGACCTGAGTAAAACGTCGTATTACGGGCAACCGTACGATTACAAATCCATACTACACTACGACAGTTTGGCCTTCAGTAAGAATGGTTTCCCAACGATGTTACCGAAGCAGAAGTGTAAGTAAGACGTTGAGTTCTATTTCTTTGACAGCAAAGTAAGTAAAAACTGCTCGAGAGAGCTCATAACAGTCTCGTCCCTGTTTGTCGCTCCATCTGCGATCGTTCGACTGAGTTTGCCTCGGTGGGTTGCTCGAAGGCGGCGTGTTGGTGACCGGGGCCATATGCACGCCTACAGTGTCCCACACCCACTGCCACGCGATTTTGCTAGGCTTCGGGTACGGGTGATCAAGCCAGACTCCTAAGGGTTGCCACTACCTTAGACACTGGGAGTAATTGTCCTCTACGCACTGGGCTTGCGGTACATCCTTAAGCTGCGGCCACCTTCATGTTCCTGCGCACTAAACAGAGCTATCAAGTATGATATGACTACAACATTACCAGTACACCGACCAATAAGTAGACAACTGTCATGTGTACTGGTTAATGCGAATAGTTGGAAAGAAAATATATGGTCAAATACACGTGCAAATGGGTAAGATAGAACTAGAACACTACTACAAATAGCTCGGCACCAAGTAGAATACGTAGCAGCGAAGGTGCTGCGTTGTCCACTGGAACTGTGACTGTAGTAGCAGTTCATCAGTGCTATCAGCAACACGAAAGACACTTCGATGATGAAAATACGACGAAGGAATAGCAGCCAGAATTCGTGGTTATGTATGGCCATGTGACATCTTCTCGAACCTTACCGATGACGGTACCTTCCCGTCGGGACTACAGCGCGCGCCATCGCAGTGTCCCTTTGAATCTGGTCGAAAGGCACGACACCACTGTTCGATGACTCCGTAATGACATTTGCAACCTAAGGCGTGATAGCCAGGCTTGAATTCGAACTCGCGCGAATTAGAGGGTCTTCGTTGGTGGTTTCGCGGCATTGAACTGCTAGGGATATACTTATTGGCACGGAGCTCCATTTTCCGAATTTAGCCTTGTGATTGCGCGCTCCAACTACCAACCACGTCATCTTTGAACTTCTTCCTCGTGTCATTCGAGCCTAACGGCTTTCACCTTGCCAGCGCTCAGTGGGCTCAAACCGCTGTTTGGCACCTCCTTGCTTTCCGAACTGCTAATTCTACTCACCCGCCGTCGCACCTGTGCTGCCGATAAAATGTAACTTTACCTAATGCTTTACTGAGTGGTCGCGCTTTGCTCAAAACACTAGCTCATTTAGTAATACATAATGGACCTGTTCCAAACATGGTAGGAAGAAAGTCGTGTTTCCTTTTCTGAGCCATGTATTATGTCATTCGTTGCAGTGGAAATTACACTGCTCAGTATCGATCTTCAAGAAAGGTCCATTTACCCTTCCCTAGCCAAGGATACCCGCTGAGACCGCTCACAGCTCTGGCCTCGCAAAACTCTTTGCACAACCACTTAAAAGAAACCGATATGACTCCAGTTCCAACATTTTTTAAATGGTCAGAAGCGCTCGAAAAACTGTCGCTGCTAGGCAAGCCATCGCTCATCTGAGTTTTTGTTGATGCAGCATTGGTCCCTAGACACCCATTGTGCTCTTGAAGCCTCTATTACACTAAGGGTCGTAGGATTCCTAGCATGAAGTCATCTGAGAACCTTGCGATCCTTGCAAGACACGAGATAGATGACATGGCCTTCATGATAAGAAGGAATAACCTCTAGATAACCTTTCATCTATAGTGTAAGTACCAGATCACAAGACAGCTCTTTCTAGCTGCTTAGTAGTCGTGGCTCTTTTCATCTAAGAACTTGTGGCTCAAGTTGAAGCTCAATCAAACGAATGCCCCTCACCAGGGTTCCACCCGATTCATGTTGTGCAATAATCGGCTTTTTGATGGACCCTGAATTTTGCACAACACCACCGCGACCAGCTACCCATTTTCCATAGCCCCGGCATTGGTTTTTACTCCTTCTGAGTTTCCGTCTGAAATCACATTCCAAATTGAAAACCAGTTTGGCAGTCATTCTATGCCACACCTTTATCGCTCAAATGACATGAAAGATGAAAGTCACATGTTTAATGGAGGGTGACGTCGAAATTGTCCCAGAAAAAACTGTTCTCATTGATATTTGATGTGCGATGTTTAGCAGCTACAATCGGTAATGCCAAAGACTTCAGCGATGTGGATTTAGCGAAGATCAATCGAATGTATAGTTGCCCGGCAGAGACAAAACAACAAACAGCTCCTTTTGCCAGAGCACAAGTAAGATCGATCTTTGATCTTTACTTTTTTCGTGAAAGAATAACTCTTGTGATCAATTTAGCACAGTCCAATTTACCAGGCGATCAACAAGTACGACGATCGACCGAAACTACCGTCCCAATACTATGATGGAATGCAAAATTCCTATTCAAGCAACAAACCACAACGTATTCATTTATAGTTTTTGAAGCCCAGCCAAAAAGGGCCAGTTTATTTCCATGCGGGCTCGATTTTAAGAGTTTCTTGTTTGTCTAGTTGTTAGTCGTACTTAGCCTGAGGAATCTGAACCGCATACTTTAAAGTAACAGGGTAAGACGCAAGTTTGAAGCAGCAGCTATCGCTTGAATCAAGTTCAAAAGGAACGGGTACTGTCAGCTCAGCTTGTCTTACGGTAAGCAATTTATTCTGAAATTTTAAGGGTGTGAGGATAAAATCACCGTATGCTGGTGGACGGCAGATCGATGTCGAGCTCCAGCCATTTATGCCATGATGACTTCGCTTTGTCCGAAAACATGCGGGTTCTGCTAGTCGTTAGTTACCGTTATCGACGTGTACTGTAGATGACGTTATTTCGAGTCGGATAGTGACAGCTAGTGTTAAAAAGTTCACTTTTGCTCTCTATATCCCATTCCATCCCTGTGTCTGTTCCCGATGAACTCATCACCTCCTTGTATATACCGTAACCGTGCTATGCTTTCATTTCTTCCAGTCTTTCTTTGCCTTGTCTTCCCTTGTCGATTATTTTATTACGGGTTCTATTTTTTTCTATTAATACTTGTAAATCGTAAAACAAATCGCTAGTTGAGTAGTTCCTTATTGGATGTTTGAAGTTCATAAAAGTATTAAACGTAGTTAGATTCGTTATGAAATGAGTAATAAAATCGACCTCGCTTCAGTTCTGCAGAAACCAATGATAGCGTCTTATTTTGCCCATAGTCAAGTATGATTGAGTCGCTGAAATAATTTCATCTACACATCACAGAAATCAAAATGTTGGGCCTCTCCTGCGGGGACGAGCAGGACTCCCCAAGCTTTTCCAATGAATGGGGCCAAGGCGTTTCAGACTAGACCATCAAGATGCGGTGGAAGTTAAACCCCACGGTGAATAACCTTATTGAAGCCATTGTGTAGCAATGACCAGTATGAGTCACGTTCTGTCTCCTGCAGCAGCTGCCATTTGTCGACTACGCTTGAACTTTTTCATATCAAAGTTATCATTCAGATTATGCTCTGAAAGGTGCCCTTGTCTTTCACTCAACACTAAGAAAGGAGACGTTATTGCTGCTCTTAGAAGGAAGTCGATATACAATAAGAAAACAGATGGTACAGAAAGTTTGATACCAATCAATGCCGTAAAGGAAGTGGACGTAAGCAGTTGAGTAAGGGGACATACTGAAAAAGGGCACAACTAGGCAGTCACAGAAGCTTTTCCATTAAGTCTTGATTTCGGAACTATGAACCGTGAGTGGGCGTCATTCAACAACAGAGTTGGAACGGAATGCAACATTACTTCACTTGTTTACATTTTATAGCCTTCAAACTAACTAAAAGTCCACAACGCAACTAACTCTTGCGAGCTACCACTACACAGTGGACGCAGTAAAATGTATGCGCGGTACAACTTCGCTCATCCTCCAAGCCAGCCCCACACCTGAGGACAAAAGCAAATCCGAACCATCGAATCTCCTCCAGATGAGAGAGTAACTTTTAAACTATTACTTTACTATTATTATTCCATTAAATTATATAATCTATATAATTATATAATCTCTATAACCTTCGTATTGTTCTTCGTCAAAAATTTTGCAATATTTCTGCAGAAATATGCGTCTCACTACATCACCTGGAAATTGTCACTTTATAACTGGAACCACGCATAACATTTCAATTAAAACTCACAGCGAACCGTACATAGCATGGGATATTTGCCCGCCAAACACCATTACAGGCAAATCATGTGCAAATATGGAACAATCTACGAGCGTGCTCAATTACTATGAACATTTACATCGCCGTCATTTCTCGCGTACATGCCGAGAATATAGAGAAGAGTTACTCAGAAGTATGTGAATGCTTTTGGTTGTTTTTGGCCAATTCAATAAAGATGGATGATACGTTAGTAGTGTGAGCAATATGCCATAACATCAAAAAGAAGCAAACATTCTGCGCTCATTCCCGTCACGAATGAATCGAGAGATAGACGGAGATGAAAGAAACTTATGACAGCGTTAAAGAAAATATGAATGATTTGGGAAGAAAGGACCGAGTTGAACAGATCATACGACTACAAATACAATGTTACAGACAAAATAAGAAACAGTGATTATGCTGGGCAAATTATGAACATCTCGGAGAGAGAGAAAGGATGCACTCAGCCTGCAGTCAGCTGAAAGCCTTGAGATGGAGGTGCTTAGCACTTCAGACAAACAAAAGTGATCGCTAACGCTGTCAATTTTCCAATTACTTTCGGTGGGAAAGCTACGCACGTACAATCTCAAGGTTTGCAGCGGTCATCAGGTGTCAAACAGATGTTTAATTCAAGGGAAAACTTCGACAGACGATTTCTAGCACCAAAAAAACGAACGAGCTGCCACTGTTGCTGATTTACACTACTCAATTAGTATTAATATGATTGAATGATATTTACATATGCACCGAGGCACTATAACGGACATGACTACTCGGAGTTCTCCAACGAGACGGGCGATACTGAAAACAGAACGTTCGGATAGGGGCTATTGCAGTCATCAAAAAGGATGATTAATTCTAACACTGCAAAAGTTTGTATCTACCTGAAACTGCTATGCAAAAAGGGGAAGTAGTACAGCACATCTGTTTAGTGAACTAACAGCTTTCAAAAAACGGTTTGTATGCAAGCAAAAAACAAGCAAAACAAGATCAGTCGATGAAAATGAACTAACCTTGATAAGCAGTTGACCACTGGTAGTATGCGGATTGTAATACGCATATGCTAACCATGCAATCAGACAAAGCGAACATCCGAGGGTGAAAACGAGTGCTGCATATCCGCCCCCATTGGTCCTGCCTGAAAGAGAGAAACTTCCATTATGGTACGAGCCATGAGGTGATAAAGCTGTCGGCTACGTATGAGACAAAGTTATTACCTTGTAAACTTGCTAATTTCTACCAAGACATATATCGCACTGCACCCCTTGATTTATACGCACGTGCATCATGTCCTACGACAGTGGTTCAGGAAGATCAACACGACTACCCAAAAGCCTTTAAAAGAAAACCTAGCCTGATCTAGGACCAGTAAACACATGACACTAAATGAGGTCTTCCCCAGACTGGAATCTGGTTTCCCTTGAATAGAGGAAAGGGTATTCAGAAATACTGGAGAAAGTGGAAAACTTCCCTGCGATTCCCAATAGAACTGAATTGATGGCGGCCGCGACACGAAGAGTTGTCACGTTTAATGCAGAGTTCACCCCAAGGGACCTCTTCAGAATGAGTGGGCAGCCGCGAATGACGTCTTAGCGCAAAATGAATTCAGTGAATACGCCACCACTTCAGTTCGATTCAAATATGCGATTTTTCACAAACTGCGACAAGATTGATGAGGGCTACGAGCTGAGGCTTCATCTTGGCAGCCGTCGGGGAGTGCAATAGAATCAACCGAAAGGTCTAAAAACCGGGACGACCGCATGAATCTTCGCAAAACTCACAAAAGCAGCGCCAGCAGCACGTATCAATAAGTCAACGAGATGAAAAAACTCCTAGCGCAACATATTTCGCCATTTTTCATGCGAAAGATGGCAATACTTGATGACTGCAAAAAAAGGTAAATTAAAAAGCTGGAAGTAGCTTGTCACACTGTTACGAAGGACCATTAACACTGAACAGGAAATAAGCTGATCTGTTATCGAATGGGCTTTAAAAAGTGATTGTAGAAAATACTTATAATAACGGAATGAGTTAGTCCGTTTTTTCACTTGGTAAAGACCACACAATACATACATTTATGAGGTCTAAAACAATATATAACGAAAGCCATGCGAGAAAACGAGAACATGTAATCAACAATCAAGAAATTACGGTGTAAATTACCTTTAACTTTCTCGGCTCGTGGTTTATCGAGGGGTATCACATCATCCGGCGACGGAGGCTGCTCAGATGAAGGAGTTGAACTGGAAACATAAATGCCCTTTCTCATGGTGCCACAAGGACGAGCTTATGTTTGCAGCCGGAATTTGAAAAAAAAAACCCAATGAATATATTATTCGTGACACGGCGTGCAAAAGAATAGTCCTCTTGCACGGTTCTGACAATGAATCACACAATATGAAATGAAAAAAGACTTTCTAGCGCTCTCCAAGCTCCCTGTTTCCGTGAACTAAGAACCCATATTCCACTGAGGTGTCCTATAACAATTATGTTCGCAGATTGCTACATGCAAGACATTTCACCACTTTTTACACGGCCGCAAACGTCAAACACAGACTCTGAGACTTGTTTTGGTTTTGGCCAACTTTACAAACTAAATTGCACTGTTCGCGTTGTGTCAAACCAATAACATCAGTCATCGAAACAAGAATGACAGCAGCGAGAAATGGTCAGAAAATGAGAAAAAACGAAATGGAACGAACGAACGAACGAATAAAAAGGAGATTAGACGGACCTGTCATCCTCTACTTCATCTTCATCTGTAGCAGCATTACAATACATGTTTTTCCCTTGATTCTTGCAATTATTTTCTGCCCATTGCTGACGACGACGATGGATCCTTGAAAAAGAAGCGATTAAGAAGAATTTTGTCGGGAGAACATTCCAACCTACCCTCCCTGGTCTGTACAGAAAGGACCTCCATGAGTCTTTTTCGCATGACACCATGTGCAAGTGAAATGCTTAAGCGTTGCATTAGAGCACGCCTCACATGACTGGAACTGAATGCACACTGAAATGAAGACTTACCAACAAAAGCTTATAACTCATCAATAAAAAAAAAACAAACAAACAAAATAAATAAAAAATTGAATTGTGTAGCGAGCTGAAAGATTGAAGAATAGAATCGAAAGAAAGCTGACCGGGTTGTGCTTCAAGGTAAACGACCGTATCAGCAGCAACTTTCTCTAACGGTATCTCAATTCGATGGTACTCGTAGATTACACGCTTGGGACTCACTGAAAATGGCATAAAAACAAAGTAGGAATGAAAAGTACACAGGACGAAGCTGATACCGACCAACGAAAACCATACTGTGACTACTAAGACCACACTAAGATTGAAGAGCGTTATTTCATGCGGATTGAAAGAATGGTAACAAACTATCATACTTTACTTCCATGGAACCATTCAATGAGAGGTTAGTGCTCAGAAAGTTTTAATAGGATCCTACTGTGTTCCACGCATTGAATTCGTCCCAACCTTGCATTATTTCGAAAACGTTAGGTAATGACAGTGCACAATCGATGAGAATGGAAACAATCATTGGACGAAAAAAAACATTAACAAGAAATCATACTTGTTCCATGTGCCATGAACATGTGGTGATATAAATATGCATCACTAATGCCGCATTTGACCGGATGTTGCTCATCGCTTATATTTGACACATTCATGGGTACCTACAAGAAACGTAATAGTTTTGAAAATTGCACATTCGATGACTAACTTTAATAGCTAGTTACAATCAAACGAGAAATATCTTGATGCGGAGATAAATTAAGTTAATTCAGCAAAGAGAATCATAAAGATTTCTGATTCTAGCTATGAATTCAATCGACAATGAAATCCCACCAAATAACCTCCATAGGGATCACGTTGACAAACAGAACAGCCAAAGGTTTTGATACCCAGACATCACTTCGAACAGAAACTCAATTAGATGAACGATATAGGGATGGATATTGGGACAAGTTCGGTGACTCCTCCTAACCCTTCCATCTGATTCTGCGGTTTTTAAATGATAAACCAAGTACTCGGTATTCTATCCTATTCATAAATCGATAGATGTAAAAAATTAACTCTAATGGTAAGAAGAACTTACATTCTTGTAGACAAATGCTATAGATCCGTTCTTGAAAAGAGTAGTTTGGAACGTGAACGCACCAGCTGAAAATTATGTCAAATGATTGATTTCCCAGCTAGCTGTCCTTCTCAAAAACGATACTAAGTGATTTGAAAATCGCGACTACGGCATAGGTTTGCCAATTATGAGTTTCAATAGAAACTAAACAAAAACCAAACCATAAAACTAGTACCCTGATGTTGTTCTCTCAACTGGACTTTTCGCCATTCCACCACAAGTTTTTCACCATCATCAGCATAAAGAATGCTCGATCCCTGAATCTCTCATTTCATCACGGAAGAACAGCTGATTTCTCCGAAAGCTTACATCAAGCATGGTATCGAAGTTAGCCATGAGCGGCGCTATGTACTGTGTAGCAGCCAACCAGTTATGGGTCTGATCACCAATATAAAGGAAACCTTTAATGTGATTCTATTATAAAGCTACGAGAATGACATGCATAGACACCTCTTAATCAAATGACATACCTCCAGTGGCTATAGTGAGGTTCGTCATCAAATGACCGTAGAACGGGAATTTGAAACTGAGCTTTGCACCCTGAACCAAGAACAGAACATGAGAATAGTGAAACAGGTTAGTAACAAAAAAATATCAATCTTGGACCAAATCATGTATTTGAAAGAAGCTAATCGCAAATAAAAACGAAGTACTCACAACAGCCCTTCGATAGGTTCCAGACAAAAGTGGATGGCTAGCATTGCCAACAACTCCAGGCTTTTTCAACATAGCATCGATGTCAACCCAATACTTATCCATTTGCTGGTGGCGATTCGTGTAAATAGTCGTTATATAGTACTTATGATCAACCTAAATAACACAGCTACACTTAACCGATCTACAATGCAACTACACGTGACCTCACATGATTTTAGACGCCATTGTGTTGGTTAAAACTCTACCGTCTCTAAGTAAACGATCTCGTAAAGGAGCGATCTCTATGGCTCAAACACTAGTCTTGAACAGCTACGAGGGCTCGAATCATTGCATGCTCATGAAAATGAAAAGCAAAGTAACAAAATTAACTGAGAAAACGAACTCACGGTATTGTTTTCCTTCTCTAACTCGACATCATCAGGTATATGTGTATTCCACATTTCCGGTCCTTCCTGCTCAACTGGAGGTGCTTTTGTCTTATAATTATAAGTGGCACGACGAACTCGATTCCTTGGTAATAAGCGAAACAACGATGAAGAGTCTTCATACCGGAGAATCAACGGTAAATCATAATTATCTGAATTCAATTCGTCAAGGTTTTTTACAGCATGCATTCAAATGTGTTGAAGACAGAGCAGACAGAAAAACTTCTCACAGCACAGCCCAAAACTCCTCCTCTATTGTTTTCGACGTGGAAAAAAACATTCAGAGCGTCCAAATGAACGAAATCGGGCATTACAGTTTAATCTAGTGCAGTCTTAAAGATTTCTTGTCGCTCTGATTAGATGATAAATGAGCTAGGGACAGTGCACATCAGCTGCGAAGCACATGTTCTCTTCTTATTCATGTTGGGGAAAACTTATTGAATTCGATTATTCTCTCAAGTTAATTACTTTTCATGGCATACTGGAAAAAAAGCACAGAGAGGCTGAAAAAACTCACCGGTAGAAGATACAATACCAATAAAAGAGGATAGTAATAAGAGCAACGAATTTAGCGCTCCCAGCATCGAAAAACCAATAGTGTAGTTACAATGAAAAAATTATAGTTTAACTAGTGAAAAGAGAAAGCGAATGCCTGAAATTAAAGATGCTGTCGTGGTTAACACATATAATAGGTCATGAACAGGATGCATCAACAACAAAGAAAGAACCACGTGGTTTTGACTTCACGATGAATTACATTGACAGAATCGAACAACGCCTTCCAGTCACATTTAATCAAACCGGTTACATCATCAAATAGTTACATCGAAAAAGGGCAATAGAGCCTAAGGAATGTAATCAAATAGAATATGCAATTTAGAAATACAATTCATTCAAGCTCACACGTGTATTCGAATATATTTCTCACCGAGCTTTGAAATTGGAAACATTTTGGGCCATTAAAACCAAGGCGCTGCAGGCGCTGAGAAGGGAGTCAACAACGTTCATCATTTTCCCCACAGCTAATCACTGGTCTTACCCCATGACCCTTTTGTTGGTATCACAATTCGTCAAAGAGTGGACGACAAGTAATAAATAAGTTAATCATGTGGTTTCTTGAAAATGGTCCGGTCTACTTTCACTTGATCATCAATTAGTCGATACATATACGTCACCACACAATCTGGTTGAACGTCCAATAATGCAAATGAGGCGATAACCGGACTGGAAAACGCTACATTATATCGTGGTCAAAAGAAATAAGAGAATAAGAGAAAGAAGTAAGAAATAAGCTGGTCTGAACTTAAGATATTCGCAGCGAACCACTGAGCAACGCACAATATAACAAAATGTTCGCAACATGACAAATGGCTTGAGCGAGCAATACTTCGAAATGATTCTTTCTTGTTTAGCAATGGTAATGTGAAAAAATGATTAACACCTTGCGATCATGGACTTGACAAGGAGGAGCGACCGATTGGGAGAGTAGAGAGAAAACCTAACTTGCAAACTAACAAATAGAACGAAACCGAACTGGTCTTGCTTGCATACTGCAATCATGAACGATGCACATGATTTAATGTAAGAAACGTGAAAACTAGAACCGAACATCAAAAACTGTTAGATTGGTTGCCGTTCTTTTGGCTGGGTTTGAGCACGGCACAAAGGAAACAAGACGAAGTGCCGCTGTGCAATTGCACAACTCTGGAGCCTACAGTTTTTAGGCGGCCGAACAACCAAAAATGATTCGTGGATTTCGGTTAACTTTTGAGATTCAAGAAAAGTAGATTTGGATATCATGAGACATTCTTGGTAACGTACGCTAAGAATGGGGCCTAATAAGGGGTACATGCAGAGTGGAAAAAATAATCAACAATAGAGGAATAGCGCACGCTTGTTTTATGATAAGGTTCTAAGGTTAATTCTCCTGGAATTAAAATGAGGAGCAAAAACAGCGCACTATGCAAAATAATGCACATTGCGCAACCACAACAAGATCGCAAACATTTGATGTCCCCACAAATAGAGCGCGCTAGTCATCCCTAGAGATATGAAGGGTGCACGTCTTCAACCCAACTTTGACAGAATTCAACCAAAGTGAAAAGAACACACCCATCATGCGTAACTGAAAACGCGCCAGTGGCGCTGCCTGGATTCACGTAGAAGCGACCGCCTTTCTCTTTGACACTACACACATGAGAATGGCCAGTCACCAATACATCTACGTCAAGCTGTCGAGCCAGCTGCTCCAGCATCTAGAATGAAACATTTGTGAGACAGATAACGTTGTCGCTTGTAATGCCGAGTTGCAATTCGATGAGGAAGGCACATCAACTCTATATTCTTAAGTAGTACACAACTTAAAAGGTGTAAAATTAAGCTGAACTTCGATTAGAACTTCGTCACTAGCCAAATGATCTCCAAGAACTACAATTCATACGAATTCTTTCTTATAACCCGATAAAAACAAATCCTCAAAAAGACCATGAATAGAAAATATCCGTCGCAACGATAAACAATATAATGAGTGAACAGAAGAAAGACTAGTACAGCATACCGCTTCATCTCCCCAGGGAATAATCTGGTGGCCGTGAATGAGACCAATGCGAAATTGTCCGACAGTGACCACCTTTGTGTCCGGATACTTCAGCGACTCATCGTCAAACTCTCCACGCACAACATGAACATCAGGAGAAAGCGTTCTAGGGAAATAAATTAGGGAAAGCTCAATCAAAAGATCAAAGAAATGGATTCATCGTCTCGTCACCTTTTCTACACATCGAGTTATACGGCTCAAAGTGAGGACAGCCCCTAATTGATCCGTTTTATATTGATTCCTAACTGTTCATATACTTTATACTTTGAACAGATAAGGAGGCAACTCACAGCCACAGCAGATATGACAGATAGCCCCACCCAAATCGAAACAACCTTCTTTGGGTAATACCATAAAGACGATCATAATTCTTCGTAATTTACCGAACATGACAAACCAAGCCCTGACAGTACCTTAAATAATCGACGCTCTCACGACTGCATAGGTTTCCGGTACAGAGAACGTGTTGCATCTTATTTGGCACAAGCAGCTTCCGGAACTTTGCCGAAAGATTATATTCGCGATGAGGTATGTGAAGATCTCCAATCAGCAGAACCAACTAAATGGAAACAATGATTGGAGGCAACAAATGAGATCTTTTAATGATTACCATTTTAAGAAACTGAGAGGAGAATTTTCCTGTCCTCAGTGCAAGCTACTTCAATGAAGATCCAATGATAGATCTGAACATGAAGAAATTCATGAATTCTGAAGGAAAGAGGGATGAGGTCAGTTGTCATTCACCAAATAGAACTGCTGAGAAATCAATGAAAGACTGTGGCGTAGCAAACGCTTCAGACCAACAAAACAAACACACGAAACAACACATCAATTCCTTCATTTTCCACGAAATTAAACATACAGTAACAAAACATTTCCAACAACATAGCTTGCAGCTTTTCAATCAAATTATATGTGGAACTTGAAGTTCCATCCATGATATGTACAAGAACATCGAACAAAAATTATAAACAGGTGCGAAACTCTTAAAGTACTGGGATAGCAATGTAAGATGATTAATAAAAAACTAAAAAAGACCTAATGATACAAGGGATAAATTCTGAGAAAACTTCTTTTACTCGTATGATAGATTACTTATCCAGATAATTGTTATACAAGGGAGCATCTATGACATAATGACCGAAAAACCTCTCTTGTTGTAACCCATAATCTCGAGCCAGTTCTTTATGGTTTCAGTGCAACTAAAAGGTGTCATTGGAGAGTAGATCTTTAGACGTAAACTAAGTAATAATGAAATACCAAACAATGCTGCTCTGATGTTTTTTCGGGAAATGCGCCACACCTCTCGTTTCCACTGCGGCTTTGAACATACATTTCGAATCAAAGCTTAATCCACTAAAAACAATTCCACGGGCCAAATAAATCTGGAACAACAAAAAATCGGATATTGAAGGAAAACACAAACGAGCCCTGTCTGCGAACCGTTCCGTTGGCATTAATTTCGTGAGCAAATCCATTCAGACGAAGAACGTGATAATCCTCAGTTGTCACTAGATCAGGGTCAACCATCTCGAGCAAAGCTACATCTCCCTCATAAGAGCTGAAAGCGACTTAAAAAAAGCGCAAAAAGAACACAGCCTTCCCCTCATACATTCCACTGCAGTGCTAATTCGCACTACACTGCTAGTTTACAAACACTCGATTTTACCTTTTACCGCGGTCTTCGTTACACTGGTCACTTTTCGCATTTCTGTAAGAAATAAAGTATTGAACATGAACAGATGTAACCACACATGGAGAGAATGGATCTACGACGAAAGAAGTAGTAAATAAAGCCTCACTACTAGGACTCAGGTATCGGGTCATAAGTGAAAAAGTGTAAAAAACTTTCCCAACTCATTTAGTTGAGTTTCAGCAAAAGCACAAAATTGTCAGGCAGCCGCAGTAAAATTCTACACGTGTACAAAACTATTTCTGACAGTAAATAAGAAGAAACTGTTGAGGCATTTACGCAATACGTAAAAAGGCTGCTAAGATTACGCTGCCATATTTTGAGGGTTTTTAGATGAAATAATCTATAAATAATCTATTTTAAAGCCTGAGGTGTCGAATTTTTGTCATCTTTGGAAACAAGAGTTTCATCGCTGACAAAGACAAAGCCGCTGGCACACAGGGGAGGGGACAAATAGCGAATGATTAAATATAGTCACCAACGGATAATAGCCCACATCCGGTTAGCTACCGATGATAGCTCGAGGGCGACAGCGAAATTACCCGTGATCCCTTTGCCAATGAAGACGAATGGGTCTATGAACCAAGATATCCAATAATTTCTTCATACCAAAAACACAAAAGACGACGCAGTGCAAGCAAACGATGACTGACACGCTGTGATTATAAGAGAAAGCTGCAGGCCATTATCAGAGTCCTGCAATGTATGTGGCAGAAGCTTCCACTGAACAGGATATGCGAGCGTTATGCAACTACTTCTCGAATGGCTACTCTCAGACTTCAACGATTCAACCAACGTCCGTCCATCCTCCGTCCATTCTACGATTCTCGAAACACAGCGAAACCATTTGATATCCCACGAAATAACAAAAAAATGTAACGAAATGTAAACAAATCTACCAGCAGAAGTTGTAATGATGCCTGAGCAAAATAAATTTCCACAAAAGGATGCGTAGTTTGGAAGGTAGTTTTCGATTATCATGAAAGAGCGCAAAATTGACACCTAATGAAAAATGGTAAATAACATGAAATGTATGTTAAAGTTACAGAAATTACAGCAGGAAAGAAGCTTGTCATTAGGTCCATCAATACAAGGGAAAACAGAGAGAAGTAGAGCACTCACTGGTCGGAACTATTGTAAAAGTACAACTGAAATGTTCTCGCGATTGCACTTCCATCACTCAGTTTGCCGTAGAACAGCAAAGGTGCTCCAAGTTCAACTTTCTTAGCCGGATAGATGAACACTCCGAATTCCTTTAAAAAATGAAGAAAAGTGAGTTTTTCAAACATCGAATGTAAAAAGGATAAACCAACTGATTCAAAAAGTAGCAAGGAAGTCGCAATGTAAGACACCTGATAAATTGGTTCATAATCACGTCGGCAGGAAGCACATTTGTCGTTGTGAGCAGATTTCATCTGACATTTAATGAAGCCAAGTCGTGCACGATTGAAAGTGAACACAACTCCGAAATAACGAATGAGACCTCACCACATAACCGGGAACACACACATCGTGCAATCGCGACTCAATGTATTTGATAGTAGATCCAGATTTCTTCTCCAAGCGTGGCATTTCTGTCTTCCACAACAGCAAAACCTTTTTCAGATGATAATAGATGCATAAATTTCTCAAGGTCAACAACATCAGCTTCTCTTCTTCTGACTCTTCTGCACCACTTTCCGTCGGAGATTTTTTGTTTACTTTGACCTAAACTGCATGATGATTGGTGAAATCACAGAGCTTGCTTGACGAACACGCTAAGGTTCAACCACATCAAGTTCATTCTATGCAGGTAAGGAGTAGTATCTCTTTTCATTCATCAAAGATTCTTAAATTTCGCCCCGAGACGCACAAAAACACACCGAGAAAAAAACGATCTGCAATACATTCAACATTACAGACCTAATGCTACAGACCTAATACACAACATTACGGACCTAATGCTCTGCGCCCGATGACTTAGAGTCATCGAAATCGCAGAGAAGACCTCCCAGAAGCGCTCACTAGAAAATATCACACAGGCCACTTTCGCAATTTCACTACACTGCTTTAAGTGCACATATGTAGTCTATCTATAGATCACATGTGTTTGCTCATGACTACCTGTCATGAGTACCTCGTATACCCACTAAGCGTTCGCAGAGTGAAAAGCAATTTTTCTACTACGCCAATTCATTGAACAATCCCTTCTTTCCAGGGATCACAATTAGGACTACAATCAAACTTGAATTGGAGATAGGTGAAAGAGGAGGTTGGAGGTTCTGGCTTTGGGAATTGTGACAATTTCTCTACTGATGAATTCCTTACCTAAATGTATCATTCCCTACCTCTTTTTTCGTTATTGTTACTTCGATCTTTGCAGCACAGTGGTAAGGGAATTCTTTTATTGTATTCTGAATGATTTCGCGGTGTCCTATGTAATCACACACTTGATGTCGTGTCAAAATTTTGAGAAGCCTTTTCAATAGGTAGGTAGATAACGATACCTCGAGAGGAGACTTCACGGCCTTGAGCGACCCTAGTCTGACGTAATCTTCCTTTTTACGATTTTTGACGTGACCACGATCTGTCAATACTGCAAGATTAGCATAGCACTCAGAACACTCATCATTGGAACAGTACAATGACACCTGAAAAAAAAAGTTCCACAAAACCAAATAAAACACTTCGGCCTGAAGTTTGCAGAAAGAACCTACGATTGGTGAAGGCAGAGCTCCATCGTTTATCAAGGTTCGAGTTGTGTACTCCAAATTCAATTGTGGATCTTGAAACAGTTTCCGACGATCTCCTTTTTCCTTTCCCATAGTCTAGGAAAAAGTATCATGAACAAAAGAACATAGCGAAGACAAGGCACTATCTGTCGCACAACAAACGAACAATTAAACCATTTAAGAAACAGATTTATTGCTTTTCATAACTTCACTACTACAGCGATTTACACTTGGGAACAAACAGTGATGCTTATTAATAACAGAAAAAATAAATAACCTAATTCATCCATCTTTCTCGTACCCACTCTAACGTGTTTTCAGACTAGAGTCAAGAGTTTTTTGTCTCTGCAGGGCGAGGTGACGCAAACCCGGCTGGTCCTCCCCTTTTCTCAAGAATTCCGCCGAGTGTCTTCGGAAATATGGACATTGCCAAGAATCGTTCGCCCATGTCACCCATGAGGAAGTTGTATGATTCTACAAAAAAAGAAAGAGGAGTAAGAAACTATCAGATAGGTTGGAATTTCTATTTTCGTCAGGAAAAAAGAAAGGTGACAAAGTGGTGACATTCATCATACTCACTTATAAGCGATAACTGCTTTTCCCGGTCACTACATGACTTCAATAATTTCCTTAAACGTAGTTCTGCGCCTAGTTGTGCAAGGAATTCACTGAAACAGTGTAGGCAAAAATACCGAAGCAGAGTCAAAGGCACAATAAATCCCAAATAAGAATTTCATTGTGCGTGGAGAGCTTGAGCTCCCAGTACTAGGCCAATACAAATACAAACGAACCGCTGCGTATTCGGACCGTAAACCAAAGCGCGATCGACAATAAGCGACTTAAGGTAACCGAAATTGACGTCAGCTGTCAGATCGGTGACTCCAGGTTGATCCAACGGGTTCACCTAGAACCAATTGCTCTTGCACTCTTATCTATTACACGAAATATATAGTATGTAGAACAATTAATTAGTTTCAGTTCGATACGACCAGTCTCTATTCCATTCCAAGAACCACAAACTATAGAAGCCCGAGCCTGAACTCGACTGGCGGAAATTCATATACATCAACAAGCGGTTCGAATCTGCATGACATTTGAGATTTTACTGCAGTTCCATTAAAAGCATACTTGTTGCCACTAAGCGTAACTCACTTGTTGATGCTTTTGGTAACCCCTGAAGGACAAATCGCTACGAGATCCATCGTGACCATAATCAATTATTAATCCGAATCCACCGTCATGAATGATTCTGGAATTTCGGAGCTCATTGCTAATGTACAAATGGAAGAAAACAAAAGGAATTTAAGAATCATGTTGATACCTCTCCGTGATCTGGTTCACAAAAGTGCCCGCTTCCGGGCTGCACTCCCAGTGAATCCTTTCCTTATCGTCACGAATATTCTGCGGTATCAAGCCACTAAGACAAAACCATTACATTGTTTCCAATTACTATCCATCACTTTATGCTAGTTTAACAGAAACGACGTTAAAGTATACCGGGTGTGCAAGTTTTCGCCTGCAGACCTCATAAAACACAATTCATCAGCACTATTAAGGTTGATGTATACCTAAAACTTGTATACTTCATAAAGAAACTCACTGTTCCTCAGACAAACATCGTACAACAGACCTCATTCCACAACCCTTTAGAGTCTCGACTGAATTGATGGACAGGTAAAGCATCCAGGAACTCATTAGCAATAAAAACAGAAAACTAAATACACTTATTAAGTACATTTGCCCACATGCATAACCCATTGAAAATCCAAAACAACAATTCAAACTTACTTTTTCAGGTATATCCTCTATTGTTTTATACCAAAATATTGGCACTCCTGATTTCGTCTTATTTGCTCTTACAATGTTTTCTAGAAAAAAAACATAGCTCTAGATTTTGAAATGCTCTCAAAGCACAAATTGAGTACCACTATTAGATGAGCTCCCTGAGGATGAAGATGCACCGCAGAGCAGCTGCTCTTGCTGCTGAATAAGGGCATCGGATGTTTCGACCAAATGCACGGACAAATTCTTCTCCTGAAGAGATGGCGTGGAAATTCGCAAAAGGAAACGCTAACTATTTCAAAGGTCAAGAGTGGGACGGCACATAAGACGGGATACCTTAAATTTGTCCATTACCAGTAGGACATCTTGCATCAATTTTCCAGTGCCTGGTCCACATTCAACAAGTTGCCAGGGACCTAAAAAGGCTTCCTCCGATAAATATTCAACCACTGTGATCAAATTAGTTGTAAAAATCAAACCAGTATGGCCTGTGTTTGCCAGTTCATAGTAACACCAAACACCAATAAGCTCCCCAAAGAGTTGCGTCAGCTCAGGAGCAGTAATGAAGTCACCTTCTTCACCGAAAACCTTCAAAAAAACTATAAACGTTGAACATGATAAGTGAATATAGTAGCAAGATATAACCAAGAACACAAAAATTCCGACGGGGAACAATACCGAAGGGAATTATATCTCGCCGCCGGCCGGTTAAGCATTTAGCAATGCGTTTTCGCTAACTTTTCGCTTCTACAATCCTACCCAAAGAAGATCGTACCTTTAAGGTAGAGGAACCTTCCATATTCGCGCGAAAAAAATCCAAAGCAACTGAACCTGGATGAGTGCAGGCGCCACCAAGGGAACACATGTTATTCATTCCTATTTGTGGGCTTTAAAATAAGTTATTCTTATCTGTCATCAATATTATCTGTCTTTGATACCGAGGTTTTGGGAGCTGTTGCAACTGGCTAGAGCGTTCGGGGCTTGATCGGGTAAGCCACAGAACAGAAGCCTCGAAGCACTTCTACGTCTTTGCAGACGATTGCTTCGTACCCAACATGCTATAGAACAAAAACCCTTTATCCCTTCACTGTTTGGCATACATTAGGTAATCGCCGGCACAGTTCCCGACAATACCTGGAGGTTAAACTCGAGGGGGGGGGGGGGGGGACGAAAGATTAAGCCCATTTTGGTTAAATCCCACAAGCTTATAGAAGTGCAAAAAAGGAGTAAACACTTGTTTTACTTATATCGATTTGTACAATGATTTTCAAAGTGAATAATCAAGAGCAACTACCTTTTGCGATTCCGAGAATCCTCCATAATATCCTACAGTAGGTGCACTGACGGCAGTTTTCATGTATTCCGCAACTGTTATCGGACCACTGGCTCGGATCTTATCAATGAAAAAACGCTTCAAGGCTTCGCTTGTATTCTGGAAATAAAGCTCATCATAAAACCCAACACCTGACTAGCTGATACCTACAGTTTCCATACTTTTTCTCGATCAACTGTAGGAGTAATGACTTCGCTTGATAGATGCCTGAGCCATAAAGCAAATGACGGGTAGCACTGAAGGGTTCGTCGGGAAATAAAACTCATCGTATATCTCCATCTGGATTCCCTTTCGATGTCGGATGAGCTTTGGCGTAGTTGCCGTGAGTCTGAGATTGCGTACCCTACAGGCCTACGCCATCTTTTCTTTCTCCCTTTTCGCATTTTCAACGGAGAATCTACCTCTTACTTTTGTGGGATGGGTGGACTATGCAGCTCGAGGGGGTGGGGTTCAGAGAAGACAGGTCGTCAGGTTTTTTTTAGAACTTTTGATCAGTAACCCATAAAACCAAGCGGTGATTGAGGCCGAGGTAAGCAAACCGGACACCCTTGTCCGCTTGCTGAGTGTACGTCGTCGACAGTTTTCAATCCAGTTTTTGTATGAAATAGGTTAGTAGTTGAGGTTTCAAGGTTTTCCATTCATTACCAGGTACATATAGTACCTAGTCCCAGTACCTCATTAGCAAGAACTTCATTAGCAAATACCCTTATCTGTTCTCCATCGGTGCTCGGGAAAAGTACCCCACAGGTGACTGGCTACNAAATTAAACCTACACTTTTTACGAAAATCGGGAACGTTTCACAAAGTATGTTATCTGTGAGATGAGAACGACGTCTCTGTACACTATTTCAGCCTGCAAGTCTCGGAATCCGTCATCAAGAGTAGTACTTGAAGCAGTCGGAAAAATCGTGGAGTGGGAATGTGGAGGTGACACTGCGAGGGTGAGTCAGTCATTTCGAAATGTAACTAACTTCAATAAACAAGTAAGCACCCCAATCGTTCGAAATTTACCAGATTTCACCCGTCACCTGTAGTCCCGTTGGTCATCTATTTCTTCGAGCGGGCGCCAGTAACGTCTTCATCCGTCCCTGTTGCGAGCCAGAGTGGTCCAGTAGACTGTTCTCCCTTAAAGGCGCCGCATTCTTTTCTCTCAGAGCTTTCTTGGAGAGGCTATCCATCGCACGGGGGACCGTCCTGATTTTTGTTTGACGTACCGAGCGATCCAGTCAGTAACCGCCTTGGTCCTGTGGTCATCGCGATATCTAATGACGTTTCGCCCACCTGATTTGGCTTTTTTATTTGACTCCTTAGGGGGTTTTAGTTTAGCTTCTATTACTACGATAAGATTGCATTCTTAGAGAAAGGAATATTCTGAAAAAAGAAAAAGTGAAAATGGCCTTTTGGCGATTCCTCAGTTAAATACGTGGCTCATGGAAGTGGCGGTTCCCTCTTGAGATGAGTGAGATGATTGAAGCCCCGAAGACGTCTCAGAAGCCGAGTACCTACTGCTCCAGGGAAGAGAAGGTTATAAGCGATCGCTAACATCTCTCATGCGACCACACTGATCTTGCCAGTTGTTCCCTCGCAGTTTCCGTTTCCTTTTTATAAATCGCCTTCGTCACCTGTCGCACCATAAATCATAGGTTTGTAGCGAGCCACTGTCGTGCCGTGGAGAGAAGGCGATTCTGTCCCTGGAGTTTTCCCATTTTCGGAATGCCAAATACAGGCGAAATAAGACCTCCGTAGGAGTGTGAAGCGTGTTAATCAGTCTTGTCACTCTTGCTGTTAAAACGCTTTCGCGTTGAAAGCAGTCCTGTCCACTGTACAGTCTGCTTATCTATTGAAATTTGGAAATATCTGTATATTGTAATACTCAATATATGTGACACTTGCATCTACCGGTCATGAGATTCGGTATCATCGGAAGGAACCCTTGGAGGGGTTGGGACATAGGGTAAGATCAATAGAGTACATGTGGGCTCATCGGAGTTTCATCCACAACTCAGATTTGGTTCTTACTTAACCTACACTCGACTTACAATCTCACAAAAAACGTAAACGCGTTTCCCACACCTGCATCACCTGTAGCCCCTACGCGCTCCCTATATCGTTCCCACATAGTTTCAAAAATTGTTCCCAAGGTATTTGTTATGTCAGTGACTGTACTTCTTGTAGCTGATAACTGGAAATGGTACCTTTTTAGGCTCGTCAATTATGGATCAATCAAAACCTAGGTTTTATCTCGCTCCTATGGTCCGGTACTCGAAGTGAGTGACTTTCATTCGTTCAATCTTTCCCGTAGGTTCGCAATTTATTCTACTCCACAAGCGGTTGTTGTTAAGGTATCCATGAATTTTTGAAGCTCCTAAAGCATCAAAAAGTTCTCTAGGAGCCTCAAAGGTGCTATAGTTCGGCCATCAAGTAGGTTGCACATGCTTCTTACCGAAACTCGCATGAGTTGCTAAGCTGTGGCGTTCAATATGAGGCATCACGCTTCAGTTTTTGCGTAAAATTCCCGAAAGAAGTTCTCTCCTTTCTCGAACCTACATTGTTCTCAGGCTGTTGCAAGGCCCGCTATTCTTGTCAAGAGACTATTCTTGTCGCCGTTTTCGGCTGTCTTTGGTACCTCCTGCCATGAACTTGGTATCAGCGAAGTCGTTCTTGGTCATGGCTCGCTACCTCTGCGATCAAATACTTACCTCGAAACGACGACATACGAAGCGGTTTCAGCGAACATTTCTTCCACTTAGGTTAGCATTTCGTGAACTAGTTCGCCTCTATGATGTGGACTGTTGCTACACTCCAATGATCTACGCGAAGAACTTTTTGGAATCAGAATACTGCCGATCAAACGAGTTTTCAACAATACCAAGTTTGGTTTTGAAGTTACTTTCTAAATGTCTCTGCAGCGACAACTAATTTCCAGGTGATCGCCCACTGATCGTCCAGTTCGCATCAGATGACCCATCGATTTTCGCTGCTGCCGCCGAGCTGGTCTATAAGTGAGTGGACTATTTCTCAGCTTCATTCTAACTAACTACTATGGTGAAATTTTCCATTCAGTCGCGTTTGGAACATGGGAGCAATAATCATGTTTTTCAAGTGGGCCTTATAGTGCCAAATTTTCCTTTTTCAGATACTGCTCGGGAGTTGATCTCAATTGTGGTTGTCCAAAAGGTGACGTTAGAGCCAAAGGATTTGGTAGTTTCCTTTTGAACAAGCCCGACCTTTTGGCAGATATCGTTAGGCAGTGTAGAGCGAGAATATCAGATCCTGAGTTCACGGTAAGTCTTATTTGTTTCACCATACTAGTAAAGTTCTTCACTTAGTCTGCCATGAAGATTTCCATCAATCGAAAATTTTTAGATTTCGCTGAAAATTCGTGTGCAGTACCCTTTGGATCGAACCGTGGATTTGTGTAGAAAGGTTTGCTTTTCAATATCGCAGAGTGTGTCATAGTGATTCGTGAGCTGAACGCGCAGTCGTGGCGGACTCCCAACTGTATTGTGCAAGCGTGTGTTCATTCAGCTATTTCGTGAGATTCCATAGTGCGCGGATGTTCAGTGCTCCAGTGCTCATTAATATGTTTCTTCTTGTCGTAAAGTAAAAAGAAGAGTACCGAAACTTTGAAGGCTGAGAAGGCTGGTGTTTCCCATCTTACTGTACATGGACGAACGCATCTGATGCGATGTGAACCTGTGGACTACGAAGCAATTCGGATCGTGAAGGTGAGCCCATTCTTGCTATCTAAGCCCTCGATTATTTTGGAATCCGGAACCCTCAACGATATTTCTTCGGTGGATCAAAAAGAACGATTCTAGGAATCTGTGGGTGTGCCAGTCGTTGCAAATGGAGATATTACCAAACTCGAGCAGGCTATAGAAATAGCGAAGAAGACAGGGGTTGACGGTTCGTAATTTAGACGCTATGTTCTTCGTATGTTCCGTACACCAGTCCCGGCTCCGAGCGACTAGTCAATCAGATGCGTTTGTCCACCTCCGGAGTGCTTCTTCCCAGTTGGTTTAATAATAAGACTCACATAGGACCTTCCATTCACACCTCTACATTTTACTCCTGATTTGGATGAATACTGACAAGATTTGAAGAACCCTCTTGAAAAGTCCTAGGGATAATTTCTTCGAGAAAGGCGAAAGATTTTCTCGGTTAAATGCAAAGGAGCCAGAGTTCTTCGAGAGTATTTGAAAGTGTAAAGCATGGTCGGTGCTCAAATGTTTGTTGCTCGAGTTTTTTTTTTCAAAAAGCGCGGTCGGAAAACGTTGAAGTAGCGTCAATGCAGCTTTCAATAATCGTCGAAATCTCAATAATTGCCGAATGAGGTCTTTCTTAAAAGATTCCATTTCTGATTCCAAGACCAGAAAGTTGAACATGTAATGCCAGCGTTGACGACATAACGCTATCAAATCAAGTGTATCGCATCGGCCACTAACTAGGCAATCGTGCGACTATCTCAGTCACTTAAGAAGTGACCGAGATAGTGGCACGATTGCCTAGTTAGTAGCTAATTCAAGGGTAGCCTGACTTCCTTGGTTGGGAAATTTCGCACTGATATCTGCTGCTTTATAAGTCATGATGTGCACTCAAGTTAGGGTTACAATTCTGTTATAAGATTCAAGCCATTGCAGGAGTTATGGCGGCTAATGGACTCCTCTACAACCCTGCCATGTTCGCCGGCTATGATTACACTCCAGCCAGTTGCGTACGTGATTTTGTAAGTGTTTTATTCGTGTTAATCTATCTATCACATGTAATTTTTGAAAGCCTATGGTATGTGAGAATGGGTGGAAACTTGTTTCTAAAAACCGTTCAAGTCTTTGGAGTAACGCTACAAAGCGAAAGAACCAAGAGGATCTATCACCGTAAGCGTGCAGTCGTGATGCAAGGAGTTGTTCGTTCTGAAATGAGATGTAGTACCAAGAGTCTAAGCGATAAACCCGCGTCTCATCCAACCGGATAACTTCCTTCTAGTGACATCTGGCTCTTTACTTTAGAAAAACTGCGATTGAAGGAGGGCATAGATCCCGTTGTGTGAATACGATCAGCTTTTATATTTAAAGGCACATTATTATATGAACAAAATCTAATCTAACTCTTCGACATCCGTGAGAACGTTCCTAACTTAAATCAAAGTTGGATATAGAGGAGACAGAATGCTGATAGTGAATGAACGAACTTGACAATTGCCTGTAGCAGGGTAAGATCTGATTCAAAATGGGTCAAGTTCGAATCTCAAACAAACAAAAATGGGCCCGACGTATTGATGGCATAGGGGATACCTGTGAGTCAAATTTACAAACACACAAAGAATTGAGTGAGTTTGCGAAGAGATACAATAGACAGCGCCAAAAAAATCGGAAGAAGCGAAACGCCATCATGCACTTTTCAATAAGGTGGAATCAATCAAANAATCATAAATAATTCTCATGAAATACCCTTCGAGCCTCTTCATCACAAGTTTCCTTTTTTCGCTTATGTAATCGTTTTTCAAGAGTGTCGTACTTCTTCAAGCGGCGTCCATTTGAGTGGTCCACTTTGGATTGGGAATTCAACAGCACTGCAATGAAACCCTGTTTTCATGATCTTACCTTACCTACGATGCAGAACCAATAGCCTTCACCTGGAATTCGCCTCGGTGCTAGACGTTATCTTGCCGTAGGGCGCTTGATCTGGTTCGAGACTTGGGCTTAGCTCGTGTTCCCGCACTTCATGTTCATGTCCGTTACACATCTCATACGATACTTGTGGCAATGATTTGCAAAGGTGTACCAAGTCGTCATTCATGGCTCTCATCTCTTCATGACGGCGTCCTCTCATCAACGCCCTGCTGGTCTCCATTAACTCAGAAACAATCTGAAAAGCATTCAAATAGACACGATCGAAGACTTGTAAGCTTTTTAACTAACTCCTCCCAGTCTTTGAAACTCTTCTTTGCTTCTTTTGAATAATTCCTTTTTGGTCCTTAGCTTATCATGATGAACATCCTGAAGGACATAGTGAGTCATTTCCAAACTATCTTATTAAAAGTGATAACGAACTCGCATGTGTCTTCTTAACGTCTTTCTTGAAGAGTATGAGCGAATGCACTTGTCACACTGATGCGGGCCTCTTGATTCGTTCAATGCGTCCCTGATTGATGCCTTCGTTTCGTTTATTTCTTCAGGTGAACAGTCGTGAACAACTTCCATATGTCTATACAGGTTACCCAGAACGAATGGGCCTTTCAGACAGATGTGGCATTGCGCTCTGGTTCGCATCACTGAGCAGGATTAATTCAAATACCTACAAAAAATAGAAATATTATACCTAGTATCATCAGTATCAAATGGAAGCTCGAGGCATCAACAGGATGGTTCTAACGATGAATGAATCATTTTTCATCTGAACTTTTTTCGTGATTCCACATGTAATCATTGAACTTCCAATAACTTTAACACACTAACAACTATCTGCTTGGAAATCAAACGAATCAGCCCCATAACCTATAAATTCTTCTCTATACACTAGAGGAATGGCAGTAATGCACTTTTTTCGAAGAAAAAAAAAAGAAAATTAGGGAATACTGGCAGCTCTGTACCCTCTGATCGCACCTGAAAGAGGATATAGGAACGTTGAAGTGCCAAATTCTTACATAAAAGGATTGTGAGGGCTTGATGGCACAACGAAGAACTCGAAAAACTAGATGAATACTATGCTAAATCCATAAAAAAACAAACTTCATGACAAAAAATTCTAGAACCAAACTTTGAGAGCAGTCATGTAGGAGCAATCGGAGCATGAGAAAATAAAGGGGGGGGGGAAGAATCCAGAAGTGCACGTGCAGGTAAAGAGTTCTACGTTATGTCTATGGAAAGGGAAAAAGGACCCGTGGGAAAAATCGATATTATGCCGTCTCTATCCGCGCAACGTCTTATCCCGTCAAAACTTGTAAAACGACATTAGACGGTTCAAGACGCTCGAATTGTGGTGCGCCGTAATGATAAAACTGTGACGCGATCGCGCGCTTGCGGCGGAAAATGCTCACTGATCCTTTCGCGATGTAGCACTTCCAACTCTTGGTTCCCTCAATGGAAACAATTTGCTTCAATTGAAAATGGAATTTACCAGAAATTTCAGGTCTTCAAACTGTTTTTTGCTTTCGAATTGGTTTATGTTTTTTAGTTACGGCTATCTGCTGACCACGGACTACAGCTACACTTATTTCATCAACATCTAATCTATATGTTACGAGGTCTGTTAACTCCTGCTCAGCGACGTGTCTTTCATGAACTATCAAGTCGTCCTGCTATTGAAGACTATTTGAATACTGTTTTGATGATAAACGAGATTGACTATGTGTTATCCACGGTGGGTTGCTTCACAACGAAAACGAAGCCGAAGTTCAGAATTGATAAGTTAGTGATTTTACCTTTTCCTGGAAGAACTTAACCGAATCCGAGAATGCAAGTGACGCTCTAAGCAATACCGCTACCTTGAATGCCGAGGGATTGGCCGTTTTTGTCTTCATTGAGACTAGGAATCAGGAAAAAATGGAAGCGCAACAGTAGCAAGCGTTTTCTCATCTATTATCCATTACGAAGAGCTTACCTCTCACTACAAAAAGCCTACAAAAATATTTTTTATTCCTTTAAAAAGCTCGTTCTTCTTCTAAGACGTTTGAAACCTAAAATTATCGCGTTCTTTTATGACGTTTGCTAACATCTGATTTTTTTCCATCCGTAAGTTTATCTAATATTATTGAACGTAGAGAAAGTCAATGACTTTTTGTGGGTTGCCACCCTTTGGTGAATGGTGTTCGTTTGTATTGTGTCGCGGCTGTCGTAGACCACTTCCCTCATTATAACAGTTCTAGCGTTTTTCATACATCTCAGTCACTAAGCGATTATTACTTATGGCATGATTTTAGTGTTAGTTCTTTTCTTCCTGAATTTCTTACTTGCTGCTGCATTCTGCGTTCCTTCGCGCGCGGCCTCTCTCGCCGCGACGTGACAGTTCCGTTCCTACTGCACCACACCCCGGACACTTAACTCTTACAGTAATCCTGTACTGCATGACCTCCATTTTTATACGCAAATTCTCACCTGTCACATCGAGAAGGGGCTTTTGAGGGAGGGGGGGGGGGGGGGGGGGGGGGGGGGGGGGGGGGGGTGGAGAATGGACACTTGGCGGGTGGTGGAAAACTGCAAGAGTTGGTTACTGCAAAAGCCGAGTGCCGTACTGACTTTTCGTTTCTGTGTGTCTTGCCACTGAGTTTAGCGTACTTTCCCCTGAATGCCCACGGCGAGCGACTGTGATTTCTCTGTTATTACCGTATCCTCCTGCCAGGATTTCGAACTTCCCCTTCACAGCGCCCGAACGCATGTAATTTTCGGGGGAGATGTTACTACTATCTGATATGGCTTCATGAATTCACTATTCACAAGATACCTTTTTGTTCATGCAATACAGAAATGAGAAAAGAAACACAGTGATAGGAAATCTGACTTTCTCTACACCAATCCAGCTGATTCAACAATAAATAATATAAATGAGTTGACAGGCAATTATGACGTATTCCACGTATTTCTTGCGATAATGAAGAATTTCCAATCTTGGATTGCTTCTATCAAGTCACGAGTTTTGTGATATTGCAAGTCCTTCCTAATAGATAACCACCACATAGGAACAATGTCTAGTAATAAGTCGAAAATAATGTGAACAATAAGAAAGGCGCAAAATATATGTATGTATATGCACATGAATATAGAAAATCAATTATGAAATTCAGGAATCGCTGTGGGACTCGTAAATGTCATCAGCATGGACCTATGTCACAAGATTAGCTCACATTATAGAAAGACTTTCATGATTAAAGTTGATAAACAAGGAACTTCCACTGTGATTCCCAAGTTTGGGAATCACAGTGGAAGTCCCTTGACGAATTACAGTGGAGGTTCCTTGACGATCCGTCGTTTATCTTCCACTGTTGCCTTCGTAGTGATTTCTAACAGCTCGGAATCAGGCGATACGGTTGTTTCTGAAAAAGAAGCGTCGTGGTATAGTGCTGCTCAAAAAAATCCGGAGTTACAGACACGGAAACTCTCTCATTCATGTTCATGTAAGGGAGTGGGGTTCGCTCTCATCATGGGTTTGGCTGCTAAAGCAAGTGGGTAGACATATCGTCTTCTTCAGAATTCAAGGTTTCACCGCTCAAGCGGATATAAAATTCGCTGTCGCCATAGGCGACCGTCAGTAGTTTCGGGCTGGACTGGGTCACAAACATCTACGCCGAGGTTAAAACAAGAGAGAAGTTGGTGACTACAGCCTGGTGTGTTTGTCTTGTGCGTAGTGAACCCGAGAGACTATGGGCCAGCCACGACACAGCCTATCGTCGTTTACGGCGACGGTGATTTACTTGTAACGTATGTACATTTACCATTCTTCTGTTCTCCTACTCGGTGAAGTCCGCTTTTATTATTGCATTGGTAACCCGTTCGAGGTTGTACAAAATCACTGAATCAGCTCCACAGGGCCTAGTTCATGGTGGGCACGAAGGCATTGAAAAACGAGCTCTTAAAAATTTTTCAGTACAGGTAACTCACCAGAGTCAGAATCGACCATTAGTCGGAACTCACGCGATGAGCGACTCTCGTGTCCGAACCTGACACCAGAAATCTTCATTTGGTAGCTGGAAAGCGAGTAATTACTTTTACACCTCGAAACGACTCTACTTTTGCATTAAATGTACAGATTAAAAATCTTGGTCAGTGAATTCCATAAAATCTACTTTCTTGAAAGTTGTTTTATGAAACTTTCTCAACATTACTTATCAATTCACTCCTCGGACTGTTTCTTTACTCTATGGGGAACTTTACAAAAGCACTAAATGAAGAAATACGGTGCCTTATGCTTTCTCTTGGGACAATCCTCGATTCTTTTGGGTATTACGGCTCAGGGACACACCGTAATAAGCGCTACGAGATTGAGATTAGAGTTCACAATATCTTCATATTACTGGATCTCTACATAACACCTCTCAGAAGGAATCTGAGCAGGTACGGGAAGGCAGTTGAACATTGCGACCCTTTGGCCTTGAAGTGATCGACGACAAGGTATTTACATTCTTAAAAGAATGACATCTTGAACATCCTCTGGATGACAGCTCAAAAATCAAGTCCGATTCTTGCCACTTACCTAACATTTTTGTCCAAAGGGAAGTGCTCAATAACGATGGTTTTTTGTGATTCGGTCACATTAGTAGCCTCATACTTCCAATATTGATCGCTGAACTCCGGTCGTATATAAATGATGTAGTTCTGGAAATGATTTTTTCAAAATTAAAGCTGGTGTCCATTTAGTCATCACCATACCTGATAGGGGTGTCCTGTTGGCACGTATACAATCAGCGATGAGTTTTTCAAATAAGCTGTCACATTTTCTGGAGCCGGTAGATCATCTTCGTTACCCGAAATGGTATCGAACCATAATACCTGAAAATGATGGCGTTTTCATGAATGCATCAACAACTCGTGTATCAGATAACTTAGTTTACACGAAGACGAGCCAATACTGTAGTGGTATTGATAGTCCTTCAGAAAACCAGGATGGCAGTACTTCTCCCCGAATCCTCACCCTCCCACCCACGATTGTCCCGTCGCACACGAGCCCGAAGTCCGAGGCAGTTGAGAAAGTCTCGAGAAAAGAAAGGTAGTGTTTTGCGTCCGACCTTCCCCGTTCCACAGAGACCACTAACCATAAGGCATAAAACTTTTTGAAAAATTGGACTATTGAGCACTTTTTTCTACTGATGTAGTAACACGATCCCTAACGGGTGCCAATTGCACCGGTACAGGTTAAATACCCAAATAGGTCAAGAAAAACTACATTGTAAAGAATAAACCAATTTCCATATCTACTCCTGGGTTCCTGAAGAAAACATAGCTCTTAATTGTAAGCAGCCATGAAACCTGGTGATGAATTTTTCTCTTTTAAAATAACGTTTAAGGTACCTCCGACGCCGGTCCTTCATGTCGCTCATTGGTAGCCGAGATTTTAAGCTGATAATGCGAGTCGGGCAGCAATCCAAACGATTGATCTATACTGAACCGAGATCTGTTGCCGTTCACTTCCACGTATTCCCACGGTTCGTCTTCATTACTATAGTCGACATTCTTGTAGTAGATAGTGTAGCCCTGAAATAACTGCTTCGCTACATATTCGCTAACCACCTTAGTCTGTTCTTGCCTGCCTTGATCTCCCCGTTCGGCATTGTCGGTGGCACCCATGCCATGGTCAGTCTCACATCCTTGACTTGTATTGATGTAATCGACGGTGCATTTTTGGGTCCTTGAATGACAGCGTTAAATATCAACACTGGATTTTTATGAAAGACGTGAGAAGTAATAGCTTCGACAAGCAAAAGCGCTAGCGGGACATGCGGCGATTGACGTTTTATCTGGTCAGTAGCTTGCATGGTGCCCCGAAAGCAATGCGATTTGCATGCTTTTCATGGAGTGTGGTACAGTAGGAACAAAATCGTCGCGTCGCGGCGAGAGAGACGTCGCGCGCGAAGGAACGTAGTAGAATGCAGCAGCAAGTATGAAATACAGGAACAAAAGAACTAAGATAGAATCAAACCAAAAGTAATAATCGCATAGCTATTGGGATGTATGAAGAACGCTAAAACTTTTATAATGAGGCAAGTGGTCCGCGACCGCCGCGTGCGGCGGATCGATTCCACATAGGCGCTCCTACTGCCCGTCTCCCCTCTTCATGGACTGAATAGACAAAATTTTACGACACATAAATGTAGAGCCCACGATAATTTTAGGGTATTTTGCTTTGGAAGAATAATGGAGGTGATTGTCCAGAATGGTGCAAAAGTGGTGGAGAAAACTCGAAAATTGGCCTATTCTACGGAATATAAGACTCAAAGAAGAAGTAAAATAAGGGGTTAGACGAGAGTTGCAAGTGTCGACAAAGACTGCATGAAAGGGGTACTTGGACGAGCTGTCCAAGTGTGTGTACCATCGTCTGCAGCTGGTTACAGTAAGCGGCCGGCGTGCAACGTGTGCGTTTCGGTGCGAATGATGCAACCTCAGCACCTTTTACAGTGTCGTGAGAATTCGTCTAGGCTAGTTTAGGGACCCTTACTACGCCCTATCTAGGCCGTTTCTGGAACTGACAGCGTCCCTTGTGCAGGGCATCAGCTTATGTTGTGGTGTCCCGTGGGGCAACACTGCAGAGCTGTTTCGTGTGGAAATGTTTTGCCGTATGATTGCGAAGTACCGACATATACATTTCAAATCAGCCTAGATCAGCTGGGTCCGGATATTGCCTTACGATGGTTAAAAGTAAGAAGTTGCTAACCTCCGTTTGGTGTAGGGAACGTGATTGGGGCAGACTTCGCTCCTTCACCCCACTCGTTTTCCGCCGAAACTTGCAGGGTTACATTGACGTTGTATGGTACTTGTGGTATCCGTACAGGAGGTCCTGCAACGCGCTCAACGAAGTTCGAAAGATAGAGGATGTAAGTCTGAAAGAAGCAATTGAGCAAGAAATTTCTCAATAGAAGTTCTGTAATGTACAACAAATTATTACAGTATTCCCATTTGGATAGCGAACACGATCCCAATTTATAAAGAGGCTGTCATTATCGTCAAACATCCATGTTACATTAGTCGGCACATCTCCTGGCTCTGAAATTTTCATTATCACCCTATTTATTTCGCTAAAAAAGAAAATTTGGTTAGAAAGGAAAGAATGGAGTCGAAAGGATCACCACAGAAAATGGAGATGGGACTATGATTGGATGAAGAGTTGAAAAGGTTTACAGATTCAGGAGGGTTAAGGAAGACAAGCTCGAACAAATTTCATAGAAAACGCTGTAATTAAGCCTGCTGGGATGAGCCATGCATCGCTCATGTGGCTCCATTAAACTACATGATTCGAAAGCATAGGACCCGATTTTCGCTTATTTCAGCTGCTCTCTCTAGACAACCTCAAAAGGTGGCGTACAACAAACAAGTGCTCTATGCTGTAAGAATTCTGGACAAAGAACACATCGAAAAGTTTTGCATGAAAAGGAATGCGAGTGAAGGAGGATAGCAGACGAGTGAGAAAATGTATCACGTACTGCGTATGATCAGTGTCCTGTTGGTAGTCACATTCTCATGCTTATTCATAGCTCGACAGACGACTGTTCGATTTGTGAAAGCCTTGGTTTCAAACAATCCACTGACGTGATAAACCCGCTCGGTGACCAGAACGTCTTTGATATGGAATTCACTGCTGTTGTCCCAGGAATAGAATAGGCTTGGAATCGGTTGGCCCTGTAATCAGTCTCCATCTGTTGTGTCGAAATCCGGTGCAAAAAGAGGCATGCACGTCTAAAATTTGATGGAGTTGCTACCAGTCCCAATACTAAGAGCTCTGTTATTAGTGGTCCTCATAGGCCGTCGTAAAAGCCAAATTTACATCCCAACGCTTTCAGAATTTTGCGTGAAATCGAAAGAGTGGCGTATCCGAAGTGTCGTACGAACATCGCTATTTTATCATTTCGTACTATTTATTATTTTTTGGAAAAACGGTTCTGGGAACCAAATCACTCAGTGAGTTTGAAGAGGAGCTGCTGGCTTCTAATCACACCTTGTAGGATGCGCCGCGCGATCGAATTCTGGTGATCAGCATGGGTCTCATCAAAAGTATTGGCTAAAACCGCCTCATTAGAAATTAATGTTTGGAGTATACCAGTGTACCGGTGATGAGCTCAGGGAATAAAAGGTTAGGCTTCAAAGTGCATTTGATTGCACAGGACTCGCAGCCTCTTGCCTCTTGAATGCCTCTTGCCACTTCCCTCCCTCAACCCCATAATAAAATACCGTTACCTGAGCGCTACAGCGAAACGTGACCGTTTGATTGGGTTCAGCTTCAAGTTCGGGTACATCGACAGAAACGAGATTCATCTCTATTGGTTGATCTGGAAACAATGTTCAAGAAAGAATATCGAGAAATAACGAATTCTATGATTTGTTGATGGAATTCGGATTTCAAGTACCAAATGAAAAAAAAGATTAGCTCACAGCGACGATCGCTGTAGCATTCGACCGCATCAGAGATGATGCCGGGGCCGTCAGGTGTAGCAGCTTGGACTCGTATCAGATATCGGGTCTCTGGTGACGTCGTCTCCAATACAATCTCTGTCGCTTCGGTTTCGACTTTATCCCATTCGGACAGATCGGCAGCGTCTCGGGTAGCATAATAAACTATATATTTCTAAAATATGGATGTAAAGGGACTAGGACAAAGGAGGGCGTAAGAAAATAGCTACCATAATGATTCCATTAGGAATGGATGGCTCCTCCCAAGAAATGTTCAACTGATTACGCCATCCAACAGCTACTACGTTTCTTGGCGCACTGCCAGGTCCTTGAACCCGAACCTCAATCTCGGCGGTGGCATTACTAACTTCACTTATTGCCATGCAAACAGCATGTCCTGATTCCCGAACACTGCTTCGTGTTAATATCGACCTGAAACACAACTAGGATTGGAACGATGTTCTCCTACATTCCTGGGATGTCAGTCCCATGACATGAACACTGTGCTGCCATATTGCGGTAGGTCAGGCCGAGGGTCAGGAAGTGCCGTCACGACCACTGTTGGTGACCTTGAGTCATAGCGCGCGCTTATGCGCCAGTGTAGCATTTCACACGCGGGGCAGCAGACGCCTCTTGTCCCACTTCAAAGCAGAAATAACCCAAATAACCTCCCCAACTCTGAAGATATAAGTAATAGCATGATAGGGTGGAGCTTAACAGAAATCATTCCCAGTCGTTCTGAAAAATTTCCTGCTGAAAAGCGAGGAGCTTCAAGTTTTCTATTTATTATTAAAGGGTCGACCACTTGAACTTTCAGAAAGGAAAGAGTCGTTAAGTTGTGAGCATGTACCAGTTCCAGGACTCATTTTGTGGTCTGAGTAAGCAAACAGACACAGTGTGAATCAGAATCAAAACCGAAAGCGTGGCGTATTCGACATAAATGAATGGTGTCTACTCTATTCTACTCCATAACTATTGCTTCCTCACTTCTGCTCGAATAACTTACACTGTTTTCTTGTCAGCTTGTTCTTCTTTCATTGTCCAGCCCTCCCGATCTTGTCTGATCGGCTGACCATTCCAGAACCAGGCTATGGTTGGTGCTGGACTACCCTCGGCACGGCAGACAATTCGGAGATTCTCAAACAAATTCGGTTCTTTCTCCATTACTGAGCCTTCTTCGATTTCCGCACGGGTTCTAAGTCCTAAACTGTACTCACGAATAATTTGTACAGAAAACGTGAGGTCAATGAGTATAAGCAGACTGCCGAACTACCCAATTCTCTTGAGGTCGGCTGATGTCTAATAAGAACTGCCTGATGTTCCCGGTCGTGGAACGGAAAAGATCAGTGGACAGAAACAACACGTATAATCACTCACTTCCGTCTCCGGTGCGAAACCAACGAGGTTTCGAGGCCTGGACGAAACGTGTAGGGTTGTTGAGTAGGGCGGTGATCTTTACCCAGTACATTGTACTGTGTTTTAGACCTTCTCCGTCAGCAGACATAGTGACCTGAAGCGGACTGTATGTGATTTTCAGCTTTCTCTAAAAGGCAAAATCAACGATGAAACTTCGTATATCCATTTGGACATACCCACAAACCTGTCGTTACTCTTGTACACAGTTCGCAATGAGTTAATGCAAGTCAAAACTTATAATGTTGCTGACATGTAATAGAATTTGTAAGAAGCCTTATACATGAAAAAAGTTGTAGAGAAAGGGACCAATCTCGGCTTTTGCACTTCCGCTAGTTCAATCCAAATTTCCGTTCAAAAAATCGCTCTGATTGGGAAGAAGCTCGATGATGAGAGACAAGAACTTCTTCTTTTTCTTCCGACTATTGTACTGCTCTTTGAGGGATAACTAGATACCTGTGGATTCAAAAAACCTTCTTTACACCATTTTGGCATTCACTAAAAGAGAGCGTGATCACCGATATTCTCTCGTCCTCAGTAAATACATTTAATGATCGCCAATTTGACTAAATGCCAAAAATGGCTTGGAAAGTAGGTTGTACCGGTGTGCAACTTATTCATTTGTATTTCGATAGAGATCTATTACGTAGAAACGTATAATTCATACTTCAGAAGTGACTTCATCGATATTAGTAGTGCTCGCCTTCACTGGAAACCATCGGGCTGTGAGAACGTCGTCCGACTGAGCCAATTCGATTTTGTAACGCTTAATTTGACACGATTAAGCACTCCCAATTTTTCGCTCTAGTAACTAAAACCAATTAGATCTCTTTCTCTTTAATAGCTCGGACTGGAGTAACAGTTTTCATTAACGCTGAAAAAAGTCACCTTCTTTTGCTGATCGTAACATAAAACGATGTACATCTAGGACCTACAAATGGGTGTCAGATGACTGACGGTGGTCCTGCCAACACATTCTGCGTCTGAAGGACAGGGCAGCCTCGGTGCTAATGCCAGAATAGTATGCCTCAGATATTCCCTTAGATGTGTGGAAAGCAACGAGAGGGGCATCAGATAAGGCAATGTGTGGGAGAAGTGCAAAGAATAGGGCGTAAAAAAATTTAGGATGATATTTTAAAGTTTCGTGTTACCTGTACGACATTTGTGTGATCATCGGGATCTCTCACTGCAGTGAAGGTGATGATCAACGAATTATCCTCTGCAACTTCCGTTTTGATGTCTGTAGGAATTGGAAGTTCTGTAAAAAAAGCCATTCATTCCGTGCCACTTTCGTCGACATATTCTTATCCACCCTCATTTTTACTACATTTTGAAACCCATATGTTTTTCGAAATAAGCCAGTTCTCATGTTTTCTTCATCATCTTTGACAATTCTAAACCATAACTTATATTATTCCACTTTAGAAACCACCGGGGAATGAGCTTTTAATGCGCCGGAAGCTAGTGATGTTAACTTATTTTTCTGAATAATAGGAAGAGAAGCGGGCTCAAGGCTGATCCCTAATGTACCCCGAGCGTGACGTCTATTGCCCTTGCTAAACTGCAGGGAGGGCTGGTGACATCGTACATAACCTTGACCACAAAAATCTGGAGCTCTGGAACGTCTCGATCTTGGAGCGCTCTTCAGAGCACCGAGGGCAGTAAGCAGTCGAACACCTCCCTCAAGTCGAGGAGGGCTAATAGCAGGGTGACGACTTTTTCGTTATATCTAGCTTCAAGGATGATATTTGTGTAGAGCTTTCTGGAATGAAAACTGCTCCTCTGAGATCGGAACAAGTCTAATCGTTGCCTTCGCTCTAAGTCAGATCCGTTAATTACGATGATAATACAGGAAGGGAAGGTCTCACCGGAGTAAGCTGTCTCGAACTCTTTGGTTTCGCTAACTGGACCTTCAGCAACATCGTTTTTCGCGCTGACTCGTACACGATAAAACGTTTTAGGTTTGAGACCGACTTGGTAATCAAACTTGTACCTGAAAAACCTTTGCAAAAATGCATAATACATCCACCTCTTCAACCTAATTTCCACAAAGAAAAATGTCTTGAATGAACTCAAATTTATTTGTAATGATATAATGTTCGTTTGATTCCTAATCAAAAATTGATTCTGAAAGTTGTCTTGAGTAAAAACATACCGTGTTTGTGTGGCTGGTACTTCAATCGTTTGCCATTCTCTGTAATCTTCATTGGAAAGGCCAAGATCCCTTGTAAAATAGATTACATAACTCTGAAATAAACGAAAACTTCCTTCCGCTAATCATTTCAATATAAGATGAGTCAACGAATCTCGCCTGAATGCATTATGTATGTGTATGTTCGATAGCCTGGGAGGGTCAGGTAAAGTTCGGTTTTTATGGTTAGGTAGGTTGTGTGGCAACTAACGCCAGACTAGAGAGAATGCGTGGCCCTTGGTTAGTTTATAACTTTAAGCAGTAGTTGCCGCCATCAAACAGAAATGAGTTAATCGAGTTTGGCCTTTCTTATACCATTCCGGCTTTGGTCGGACCTTATAACTGCACTGATCATTCAGTCTTTGCCGACCCGCTTCATCATCTCGTCTTATATTATGGAGGATCAAAAGGTCAAAGCCTCATCGTATGTGCCAAAGGAGTTGGAAACTAAAAGTCTGATTCCTTACAAGTTTTTATCAGCCGTTACCATTTCCTATAACCTTTGTGTGCGGTCAGTCATACACTAATCACACACTGCAGTAGCAATGCTCACTTGCCATACGAAAAGAGGAAGTGATCAAGTGGTATTTATCAGCCCTCGATTTATAGCCCTTTACTATTAGTCCTTGTCATCACCATCCACGATTCCGACGAATCCTACTTCATTGCCCAAGATGTCAAGCTATAAGATGGTTGGTCTATAAATCTCGCTTGTACTCTATTGCCAGACGTCACGAACTAACCAAAATCTCTGTCGTTGAATTCGGCCTGTCCCATCGTACCACAGCGATGTTTGCCTCATTTATATCAACATTTACACCTGTCGGGGGATTTTCCGGTCCTGAAACGAAAACGTATGTAATGAAATTGAAGTCGCAAGCTAAGTGGTAATCCTTATAACTTTTCTGGTAATGTCCTACATGCAATTATGATATTGAAAGTCAATGGTACTTGAAGATTCGAAAAGCGAGTAAAATACAAATTCACAGAAAATGAACGGTAAGTATCGAATTTTAGGTAATCACAAAATTCCATTGAAATGAGGTTGAAATTACACCTCCGTTCGGCGTAATGAAATGAATTGCCTCAGAGAGAGGACCGGCACCAGCTCTGTTAACTGCTCGAACTTTCACAAAGTAATCATGGGACGGTTTCAATTGATCGGTAGGTATGGATGATCTAAAAAAATATTTGTTGATTATATGATATTTGCATAGTGGTACTGGCAATAGAAAGTAGTTATATATGAATCTCTGCAAAATACAATAATACCCTTTTTAGGTCGAAAAGCGGAAACTTGATGTGTGTCGTGGCTTCCGCCCGACTTGTTAAAGGGCTACGCCTAGTAGGGCGCGCGAGGGTCCCGGCGCGAACGGCGTATCGGCGCCTGCGCGTCGGCTATACTCGGTGCGTGCTCTGGCCTAAAACCGTTCGGCAGTGTGTCTGCATAACGTCGTCGTATCCGCCCGCCACTGCCCGTCATCCTGCCGTCGTACCCGCTCGAGGATGGAGACATGATGCAATCGATTGAATGCATAGTGATCAACTCGGGCATGGAAGCCCGAAGGCATCGAGCGGTCCCAAGTCACGTCGCCCCCTGTGAGACCTAACGTACTGAGTTCGAGCCTCCCGATGGTAGGTTTTCTGGTCATCGTCGTAGTTTTTCATTGCTAAAGTGTGTGATCCTTGTTCATGTTTTCCTTTTATGTATATATGTATATAAGATGTACTTCTTTTTACCACTTCTTCGCTTTGGCGTATTCTTGTTCTTCTTCTTGACGTACCCACGAAGGACTGCTTAGAATATTGTGTTGAAAGCTTAATACCGTAGACGGTTTGCGCCGTGAAAGGTTATATATGGTTTGAGTGATGAAGTTGGACTGTGCGTAAGCTATTCCGTGTTGTAGGACGTAGCACGCGTGGGGTGATTATTGGAGTGTAGGCTCAGCGTAGGGGCTGCAAGGGCCGAAGGAACATCCCGCGTGGCAAGGGGCGAGGGCGAACGCTGCACAAGATCCCTATCAGGCATTCACCCCGATGGTGGCGCCGCTCCTAAGCGCGGCGAACCCCGATGCCTATGTATAGCGAGCAGCAGGGCGTCAGCGCCGGCGCGACGGTTGGGAATAGTGCAGCGGTGATGAAGTTAGCGAGAAAATTCGCATATTTTGTGAAAATAAGTGGTGCAAATAGAGGTTTTACGAGATTACCACACGGATATGACAAGGAAAGGGTATTTGGACGAGATTTCAGTTGTTGCAATTGCGCAAAGAGCTGACTACGTCAAGCCAGAACTGTACAGTACTGCCTTCCACTGTCGCTATTAGTCATAACAAGTTGTTTGAATTTCCTATATGGGTCCCCTTTAGGGTGATGCAGCTTCTATTTACAATGTCGTTAGAACTCGTCCTAGGATACACACGGGACGATCTTTGTCCCTTTATAACGCCTTGTCTAGGCCATTTTCCTACCTGAGAGTTTCCACTTATATCGTAAGAGTGGCCACAGATATATGCTATCTGCTTGATGACATTATCTTCGGCAGAATTACGTTTTGAGGGTACCAACTGAGTAAGGATCGGTGGGATCATCGGGAGTATCGCAGAGTTGGTGAGCAGCCAACTATCGCCGATCCCTAATGTTTTTCACATTACTGTGATCTCGCTTTGTAATCACTCGAAACTCTGCAGCAGCGATAACTTCCGGCGGAGCTGTACCTTAACAACTAGACTCGAAAAGTGCCTGTAGTCAAACTACCTTGTTATTGCCACCGAATCATTCCTGGTCATTGTGCGGTATTTCTGCCAGTACTCTTCGTCCTCGTCGACATCGTCACTCAGAAAGAGCTCGTAGAACTAAAATTTCACAGGACAGGTTGTCTAAGTTTATAACAAAGTTGGGTACTATTCTACTATTACACCCCCAGAACTATTCTACTGTTACACCCCCAAAAACTCAAAATTTTAATTTTCGACGAAACTTCGCCTATAGGGGTAATCCGATGCCCTGATAACGAATNATTCGTTATCAGGGCATCGGATTACCCCTATAGGCGAAGTCTCATCGAAAATTAAAATTTTGAGTTGTTGGGGGTGTAATAGTAGAATAGTACCCAAAGTTGCGTTTGCTGACAAAAGCAGATTAGGACAAATAGATAAGAGAAGAAAAGAAAGCCTTCAATCGAGCATAGTTTTGATATCTTTGCCTGCTCATACCTCTCACTCCTCATTAAGAGCTGCAAAATTAAAAATTCGATATTGTCGAGCGCCAATTTCACTTACAGGCATGGTTCACGATATTCTGAGGTGCCCAGTTTTAGACGAGTTATATGCGGTAGTTCAGAATAGTGCAAACGTGGCGAAAGAAACGCGGAAATCGGCGGTCGCAAAACAAGGCTTTGAAAAGGAAGTAAAATCAGGAGTTGAACGAGAATATGACGACAAAAGTTGCATGGAAGGTGTTCTTGGACGAGCTATCTGAATGTGTATGCCACTGCGTACAACTGGCTACAGTGAGCTGCCTGCGTGCAGCAAGAACGTCTCGGCACGAATGGTGGGTGTGTGCGTCGGCTAAGCGGGCTTTTATTACGCCCTATCTAGGCCGTTTTCGGTCCCGACAGTGTCTCTTGCGTTTTCCTCGGGGGTCACAGGTTCGTCGTCAAGAAAATCTCAGGAACCATTTTTATCGTGAACTGCACTTTTAAATAATACACGGTTGGGTAGTAACAAGTCCGTGGTTCTGTAATACTATGGAACCTAAAAGTCACAAGACCACTTACTTCAATCTTCAAGTTCGGATAATGTGGAGCTTTCCATACAATGATGATGTCACGAGAATCGATCGACAACACTCGGATGTCTCTTGGAGCATCTCCCGGTTCTAAATACTACAGTTCTTATTCGATGGTATAAATAAATGGTGGTAAATGATCGCGGTAGACTAAACTGACTTTTCACCAGAAAAGTAAGCGATGATGAATTTGACCCAGCCGTATTTTTCGCTTTACAATGGAGCGTTTTTGACGTTATTGTGGAAAATTCTACTTCACCAACGATGGAGTCTTGCTCTTCTGTTACATCCAATAACTGCCAAACGTCCTCCTGAAATTGTTGGTAGATGAACAGAGCAAAATCTGCAGTCCGCGAATTTCGATACATAGGGTGTATGTTGTTCGGCGCGGCCCTTCCCATAGCGCCTTCCATTCCCCGCGGTTTGTGAGCTGGACAACTCGTCCACGTGGTTCAAGCTAATGACCATGTTAATCGATGCAAATAGACAGGGCGTCCAATAGTAACGATCGCCTCCCCTATACAGGTGACCCACACGATGAAATAAAGAAGAAGCTGAACGACTAAAAAAATGTTATATATACGAGACAATGAAGAAGGGTATGGGACAAGCCCAGTGATCAAAAAAAGCGCAAATAAATAAACGAAATCTCTTTTTGGAACATGGTAAGGTCAAGAAGTCAAGAGGAAACTCAGTGCATCTCAATAGAACGCAGGTAAAACTCATAATGTGCAGAAGGCCCGGCGAAAAGGTTCATTGCTAAACTCACCTCAACTTCTGGATCAGCTCCTTCTTCAGTCAGGACGTAGAACAACTGTGGCTGCGGTTTACCTCGAGCAATGCAACGAACCCTGACCTAAACAGCTTCTCTTTCAATAGGACAGATTCAGTCGAAGGAGATTTCTTACCTGCTCCCATGACTCTACCAGTAGATGTTCTCGTTCTGGTGGATCAGTGTACTCGAGCGAGACACCTATTGGAATGGCTGAAAGTAGTAACAGAGATGTAGGTACATTCAGAGACCCAGAATGAAAGCAGAAAAAAAGCTAGGCAACCAATGTTAATTGGTCTCGCTTGGGATGCGCCTTGCATTTGCATTCGTACTCAAAACAGCACCATATATCTTCCGGCTGGCATTGCTCAGGTGACACCAAAAACCAATCGAGGTAGAGTGATGGGTCTAATGAAGTCTGGTTTCGCGCCGTCCGGGCAGCCTTGCCGAGCGCCCGTTGCATTATCTTCCGGCTGGCATTGCTCAGGTGACACCAAAAACCAATCGAGGTAGAGTGATGGGTCTAATGAAGTCTGGTTTCGCGCCGTCCGGGCAGCCTTGCCGAGCGCCCGTTGCATCGGTGGATCGCTCGAGCCGGTGGTTGGGATCGCCCAAGTTGACCGGAGTCTTACGCGCGCTAGCAAGCTCGTCACCCTCTGCCACGCGGGCATGGCAGGCCTTGCGGCTCCGGTTTTCACCCCAGGAACATTGGGTAGGTTATGCCTCCGCACTATACTTGAGGTACTTCTTTCAGCGCCGAGATCCCTCAAGGCGCTGAAAGTATGGTCCTTCGAGAGCCTGCATACCCACTCATTCCTGTGCATAGCAGGATGGCTGCGACATATGAGTGACACTACACTTCACGTACTGAGCACACACTAGTGAGTTATAGAGTTTGAGGGACTACGTATAAAGAGAATAAATGTTATGTTAAATGCGAATAAATGTGATAAGCTGAGATTACACAAAATTCTGTGGAAAAGAACATGGAAAAATACATAAAAAGATGAAGGGTAATGTCTCGGAGCGTTGACCGATCCCGTATGAGGGATGCTCCCACGAATTCGACGTTCATTCAGAATCGTATTGAATGCGTGTGTGGCTTATACAATGACTTGCGGTATTCAGGTGTTGTTCAAGTTGGTGCTTTCATCCTCCCAGAGGAGTCTGGTACCAAATAATCGAGAACGGAGGGAAGGAAGGCTATCGACTCTGACCACACGTGTGTGAAGTGCGCCACTTGCCCCTACATCACCTCTGCCCTGGAAAATTCATATCTCTCTCATTTATAAAGCAGAAACTTGGTGTGTCGGTTTGCAAGTTTGTCGGTTTGTCGCTGTGTCGATGTGTCGGTCTGTCCGTCCACAGAACTTATGATTACGACAAATGTAGTGATGTGGATAACCCAGCTCTATTCTACATTTCTCTACCTTTCTCCACTTGAGGGGGAGGGGGGATTTCCCATCTGCTCTGTGAAAGTAGGGCCCAACATAAGCCGGGTGACATAACTGGTACATATTAAAACCTCACTAATCTTACGGACGGTACTATCCTTATCACTTTCAGTTGAGATCATCCAATCCTCCCAACCTCCTTGTGGTACTACTGCTCTCTAATTCATCCTTTAACCACTCCTCTGGGTCTTCCTTGCGTGGGATTGACTTGGCAGCAGTGGCACCAACGATGTGGTGGTGCAGCGGAATCCTCTGGAGCTGCATCGATGGCGTTGATGGAGTGGGTACGAGGGGACGAATACGACCAGGCTGTTGCGACGATGATGATGACGAGACTGGCTGATGTAATCATTGCATCATGGCACAATGATGGTGACGTGACTGAATGATGCAATCATTGCATCACGGCACAAGCAGCCCGAGTCCATGGCCTAGCATAGCCACGTGGCAGCCTCTCGCTCTTTGCAGCATATTGTACCTTCCAGGCGGTACCAAGGTGCGCGCCACGCCACCCGACCTATGAAGTCGAACGGAAAGGACGACACAGGACTCTTGAGCAGTCTATGTGATACATAGCAGGGCAAGTGATATGGAAGCGCCAATCGAATCTCCAGGAAAAAGTTAGAGTGTCCCTAAGTAAACGATCTTGGCGCTTCCTAAAAGAAGAGCGCATGGCGCACCCTCAAGAAATGAGATGCAACCATCGCGAAAATAAGGAAACCAACTGTCTTTTTCGATAGCCACAATGTCAGAGATGACTCCTGGTCCACTGTCGGCAGCCGCTTGAACCCGTACATAAAAGGCATCGTCAGTTTTTGCGAGTACCCTTAAAACAGCGATGTATGTACCTTCTCAACCCTCTCAACTTGTCACCAAAAGATTTTTTACCTGATACTATTCTCCGTGCCGTCCAACACCAATTTCTGCCAATCCGACAACGGATCGTCTTTGTTGAGCGTGTGATACACAACGTACTTCTACAAATCCTACTATTCACAACATATTCATTTCGTATCCACAAGAGTGTTACCGTAATATTTCCATTCGGATGTGAAGGTGGTAGCCAAGATACGGTATAACCACCTCGTTCACTCTGTAGTGTGACGGAAGATGGCGGGCTTCCTGGTCCACGGATTTGCACGGAGACTGATCGAGCTATTTGGCCGGCTGGATTTACCGCGACACATGTCAGGTTATCGCTGCGCGTCCTAAATTGAAGCCTAGTAGACACAAGCCAATCAGCATAATTGGTCAAACCTCGACTTCATCCTGAGCGACGATGACAAGTTCTGCCCATCATGCGTCGAAGTAGTGACCGTGTAGAATGCATGGTCAGGTTGGATTCGCTGTCCTGAATGGGTTTGTCTTTCCCTCAAATTGCCTACAAGCTTGTTATTCGTTTCGAAAGATAACTTTTACACTCTGAGACGCGTTCCTTCACTACTTCTATTTTTTCTAGCCTTTACGCCTTCGCTAAATGGGTGGCATGAGTTTTTGTGGAAAGCACCGCTCCCGCCAAGACGCTCCGCCCACCGCAAATGGGTCTCCTCCATTTCATTTGTTGAACAATAACTTACCCTTCCTCATTTCTTCCTGTTGTTAGGGCTGTGACGAAACTAATCAAAAAGGTACCGCCCACTTGAGCATGTGTCCCGCCTCCAGGCTCCGCTAAACTCCCATGTGCTCTGTTGACCATGCCTATGTCCAACCCATTTCAAACTCTACCCAAGCTCTCAAGGCGCTCCTTCGAACAAAATCAAACTTCGTGACATACAGACGAGAGCATTTTATATAGCATTTTATAACTGTATAGAACTTACCATTAACTAGCCAGAATATTTTGATCGGTGGTGACGAAATGACATCACAACGCACTTCAAGTGGTACTAAGATGTCCGGGTCGAATACGACTTCAGTTTCCGGATCTAGAGATATTTTGGGCAGCTGAGCTAAAAACAAACTGGAAAGAACCAATTACGAAAATCACACAAGTGGGTTTTTTTAACAAGGTCTTCGAAGGAGCTATGGCAGTAGCCAAACGCTCCTTTAATGTCCTAAGCCACTTAAATATATAGTTCGCGACAAAAACGTCTCCTGAGATTCCCCCATGGTATGAATTCGAGCCCCCCCC